AAATTGTCGCGTGGAAATTTATATACATTTATTAGACCTAACCAGGAACAGCTGCCAAAAATGCAACTTTAGGTCCCTGGCAGGAATCGAACCTGCCGCCCTACAGGAATCGGTTCGACTCCTGACAGGGACCTTCTGTTCCTGGTTAGGTCTACTGTACAGTATACTGTATAAATTTCCAAATCAAATATTCTCCATACACAGAGTGTGATATTCAAATATTTTTATTCGTACCTGTTTGGTACTCACGATGGTTATTCATGCGTACACGCGTAAAAATCTCACAACTTGTCAACAAGATGTGTTCCCAGTTGTTGACAACGGACGACTTACGCTTTAGAAAAATTTTTAATTTGGGAATAACAAAGGATATTTTCTGAAAGAAGTTATCAAAATTAGAAAAACTGCAAAGTTTGGTTGCGAAATGTTGTAAAATACGGAAAATATAGCCCTGCGAAGTTGGCAAATTTGTATACATTTCTATTACGTGCGGAAATTGGTAACTAACTTAGTTACCAATTCACGCACGTAATACAAAAGTATACAAATTTGCCAACTTTGAAGGGCTATATTTTCCGTATTTTACAACATTTCGCAACCAAACTTTGTAATATTACTAATTCCAAGACGCTCTTTCTAGCTGTGGTGATAGATTTCGTTGTTCTTACTTAGATTAAAATTTAGTCTAAAGCGCAAGTCGTCCACTGAGTCTGGAACAAGTTAATGTTATCGTCTTGTAACAAGGTTGAAGAGGCCAACAGTTGTTCCAATAAGTCTGAAATTGCCTCACGTAAGAGGTTGTTAACAAGCTCGTAGTAACTTGTTACAAACAGTGTGTATTATTAGTCTTGTTGGAACAGCTTGCAGCGAGTCTGTTACTGATTAAACCTTGTAACAAGATGATAACAACTTGTTCCAAACTTGTCACAACAACTGGGAACAGTTAGCAAACACATTCTGATATCGGCTTGACAACAACCTTGTTACAACTTGTTTGCAGATCTCGAACAACTTGCGCATTTCTATGTGTGTGTACATGAGCATTGACTTAATTACGATGTTGAATACTTTGAACTTGGAAAAGCCACATGTTGCCGGCTAAAACGAAGTACGCAGAAAGCCAGAATACCGAGTACCTACGTGGTACATAACTGGAAAAAGAAGTACCACTGTACCAGATTGCAACAATAGCATATACCTCTACTACAGTACAGTATTTATCACACCCTGCCATACCATTAGGACTTCAGTACCTGTTTAATAATAATTTCAAACATTTCCTCCGTGTATTCCAATTCACAAAGATTTTCGTATTTATCTCGAGTTTCAATTTTCAGAGGATAATAAACACCTTGGATGACTACAACTGTGTCGATACCGTTCAGGATTGAAACTTTAGACATATCTATGGGACCTGTAACGATATACGAAACTTTTTTGTCTGTGTTGGTGTCATGCACTCAGGTGAATATGATGTTTGTGATGTTACTCTGAGTGTATATCCACACCGGGCAAGCTTGAAAAATATGCCTGGCCATGGTGGGAATCGAACCTACGACCTTTGGAATACTAGCCCAATGCTCTGCCAACTGAGCTACGCGGTCAGGTCGGTTCAAGTATGTAATATTTCGGAACTGAGTCTAGTTCCTTCGATATCAATGTAATCTAGTAATCATGATATTTTTCTGTGTTGGTGTAATGTACTCAGGTGAATATGATGTTTGTGATGTTACTCTGAGTGTATATAACATGACAACGTTGCTAACGGTTGTTTCAAGTAGTTCAGGCACAAAATACGGCTGCTTTCTAAACAAACCTGGTACAAACGTTCTCCTAAATGGACTTCCATGTATGTGTTTACCATTAATCAATACTGAAATGGTATAACATCCCGAGATCTTTGGATGAAAGGTAACACAGTAAGCATTCCTTTGTTTTCCGTCTCGTTCTTTGACAAATGCTTCAGCGCCTTCTCTGTTACGAACTTCAACGCGCACGTTTTCTCGTCCCGTGACAGTATAGAAGAAAAACCAGCTTTTACGGTACAGCTAAATATTAAATTTAAAATAAATTTAACACATTACAGTGCATTTACACAGGGCACAATGCAACTTAATGGGTTGAATTAGTTGAACAGTCACCTTTATGAGAAAAGAAGCAGTGTTTCCAACTGCGGTTTTATCTTTCTGCAACCACTCCACTTGGCATGATGATGGATCCAGGTAGTAGCCAATAAAATATTGGGAAAATGTTAGATTACGGTTACGTCGCATTGCATTGTACCGAGATACAGCCACATGATAAGAGGCATATCCAAGAAAAAGCAACAGGAGTCGAACTGAAAAAATATAATATTTAATAATAAATAATTTTATAGCACAGGGATACTTGATTGAGAAGCAGGGGTGGATCTATTGTGGGGTTGCAGAGGAGTGCACACCCCACCTAGTGTTGTCTAACCCCATCCTCCCCTAAAAAATCTTCTTGATCATACATTTTCTGCTTTTGGAATAGTAATTAGTAGAACTTCTACCGTACTGTAAATTAGCAAGTGTCAATTTCTTGAAATAATTTAATTGATTTGTGAGCTCACAAGGGAATACTCAGAATGTTTTAGTTCCTGTAGTTACTATACAACTTTAAGCAAATTTACTTACTGTGGTACAGCAACTGTCCAGTCAATCAGTCATGCATACTGTATAAACTACTTACAAACAACCCATATCAACTTTATAAACAAAAGATAAATTTTATGTAAAACATAACAGAATGGCGAACATGCAGATTTAGCCATCTCAAATAATGGCAATGTTGGGATAGTATCACTGCAGACTGCAAAGGAGAGTGGGCAGTAATTTAGGCTCCCTCATACACCACTCCATGGAAAACCTGTCGAGAAGTTTGCACAAAATTAATACTTACATAGCCATTTAAAAAGAAACATAAAGGCATGAAAGAAGAAATAGAACACAGAAACAATCATCCAGCCATTTGAACCATCCTTTAACTCCTCAACAGCTTGAACAAGTAGTTGGTAGTCTGCAAATGATCCATCCATATTGCTAGTCACATCCTTAATCTCAAACCTTTGCATTTTCTCTTGAATGCTTTCAAGGTCGATATAGCCAAGTTTATAAAATCCCAAGCAGTATTTTTCCAATCCTTTGCTTTCAAGCCATGTTGCCAGTTTTAAACTCCCAGTTCTCAACTCATTAAGTTTGTTTATAAAAGAGATTCTTTGTTCAAAACTCATTTGGTTTTGTTCAACAAAGTTGGTAGCATCCAATTGCAAAAATTTATCAAATGAAGTAATTTCTAAAAGTAAATTTCAAAAAATACATCATAATAGTATTGCATATGAAATGTAAGCAAATTAATATCTGCTGTTAGAAATCTGACGTTTTAAACTTGTGCAATATACTGTAGTTGTTCATGTCAATGTGTGATAGATCTCTCTTTAGTATATGAGTTGAACTATCTATTCTTTGCCCAAGTTTGTTCAGAAAGGTCACACTTTTCTGCTAAAAGCTGGGTCAACATTTTGGATATGACATAAACCATTTTCCACAAATAGTGGAATTTGACAAGGATTAACCACAGAATAGAGACCATACAGAAGACCAGCCTCGTCCCCAGGCTCCAACTCAGACGCACAGGTTCCGACGCAAGCAGTGGACAGCTCTCGATTTCTCACGAAACCGCACATCAAATCAAAGCGCCTGGGGACGAGGCTGACAGAAGATTTACTTTTTGGCTTTGCCTATGATTTTAGCATAACCATTGCAATGCTGTTGCAATGTTCCTTGCCAGTGCGCCAGTAAATGAGAGACATTCGCGCCCCTGAAAATATTCAAAATGGCAGACATTCAGAGGGGTGAATGCTTCTCATCCAGACTGCAGAGTTGGTCAACGTCGCACTCAATATTTTTTTAGGCAGAAATTTCAGCGGACCTGGGTGTACTTTATAACAATTTTGCACTTTAATCTGCCCTCAAATCTCTCATTTTCATTGTTTTTAACATGTATCTCGCTACTTTTGTGCCCTTGACTGCATCTTGATGCGCACTTGTAACTGTTTTGCGCACCTGCACTTCGAATTCTCTAACATTTGCGCACCCGAGATCTCGTCGAAAAGTGCCCAACTCTGCAGTCTGGCCTCTCATAACCACACTGACTAGGAACATGAAATGCATTTTGATGACGAATCATTGCAAATCATAATGTGGTGACAATGGACAGCGGTTACACATTTTTAGCTGAGTCAGGCTCCTCTATGGTCTCTATTCTGTGGATTAACTACCCTTCCCAAGACTTTGTTAATAATATGATTGTACTATTTGTGATACCATCTCTTTTCAACATTTCCACAACAAATGATAAGCTATTTTTCTTCAACCACAAATGTAAATTATCTTCAATGTTATCATCTTTAACAACACCAAATAAATCTTGATAAATTAAGCAAACCACAACAACCATGAATGCCCAAAATGGCCATCTTGTGGTCTGATTAGGATCTCTGCGAATCATGTCTTGTGTAAATCAATTTTAGGCGTTAGAAATACTAATAAGATATTTTCTTCATCCATATTTTAAAAAAATGGTCTGTTTTGTTCTATTTGTTGCTTGTTTTATTTAATTAGAGGCATTTTTATTTGTTTTATTAAAAACAAAACCACTGCTGAATAAACTTCTTGTAAGCACAAAACTCGCACCCAATCCCAACACGGGTGGGCGGGGCTGTACCGTCGTTTGCACCTGAGGATGAACATTCGTAGATAGAAACAAAACATCGATGCATCGATCTCAGTCAGTCTCAATTCCAACCCTCTACCGTGCAAAATGGTCTTGAAAAAGGCGCCGTCTAATTTAGAAGCTATTCCAGTACAAAACGAAACCTACTTTTATTTGGTCTCGAATTCGTACAGTTAGCTGTGCTGGAATTCGTCCGCTTTCACGCATCCCGTGTGAACACCAGACAAACCGGACGAATTTGAGTATGGTTCCGAATTCATCCGGTCCCGTGTGAACGGGGCCTTAATCGGCATCGACATTACCATCTATTTCAGGTATCATGCTATGCACGGCTCTTTTTTCTTTGTTTTCAACCAAGTACTACGTAGCCGCAGTTACGCAGAACTCTTGCTAAATGCGTACTTACATTTTGCTGCTACCATACGACCTGTCCATGTCCAAGGCGAGGTCCAAGGTATTCAAAACCGTAATTAAGTCGGTATATATGTAAGCCTGACATGTCTTTGCATGAAACATGATTGGACTTATCAGTCCAATCATGGAAAGTTGAAGTCGATTGTAGTGTTTGTGTCTTTTCGTCGTTTCAGGTTTCTGAATGAACACCTTTCAGAAACCTGTACTTTATGTACTTCATTTTAAAAACTAAGTACACCATGAGTCTTACGTTTGTACATAGTTAACAGGGGCGGCGGAACAGATTTCATTTCGGGGGGGCTAAATTTTTTTCCGTGACCTCCCCCCCCGTCGCCAAAAAATTTCGGTTAGTGTTTAGAGGTACAAAAATTTTTCCTGACATATACAGGAAAAGGGACGAAAAAAATTTTGCCGGACCTATAACAAAAAATTTTTCCGGACAAACACTATTTTTAAACAAAATATAGCAAATTTTTCCCCTTATACCTAAATTTTCAAAAAATACCCTAAATTTTTCCTTAATTATCAAAATTTTTCCAGAAAAAACAGAATTTTCTGGGGGGGGGGGGGCTAAGCCCCCCCACTTTTACTTCCCCCCTGTTCCGCCGCCCCTGATAGTTAATATGGTTTGTATCAGCTCAAGTATGCAGCAACAGTCATTGGAGTACCAGTCAGATACGACTAAAAATTCGCACCCTGGAGTAGAAGCTCTACAGTAGTCATGTCAAGAAAACAGAAAATAACAACAGAGAGGTTTCGATTCAATATTTTATTATTTATAATCTTTATATCATTTAACTATCACTACTCAATTTCCCTCAATTCCAAACAGTATTTTAAACATCTCTCCTAGATCGTGTTTTACAAGAAATTGAAAGAATTCACCAAAGTCCATTCTATCATCACCGCTACTGTGAACATGAAAAACCAACTCTTTAAAATCGTCAAATTTTCGTCGCCCGATTCTCTCCTCCTTGTGTCGACAAGTTATTTTCTTCCAGTTCAAACGTCTTAATCGGCTAAAATACTCTTCGGCGTCCCTTGAATCACCCTCAATGCAAACAACCCCCGGTTTACCGGGCAAGGAAAATCCAGTCAATTTCGACTCGTTAGCCCAATCAAGTATATGCTTTCTTTTGGTTTTGCTGTAAATATGATGCATATACAACCAAATTCTTGACAAATTTCCCTCACATTTTGCCTCTTTTTTCCCAGTTTTAGCAACTTCTACCTCTTTACTGTTTGTGAGCTGTATGCTTCTTTCGTAAAAATCAGGCCAAGTTTCTCGTAGCCATTGAATAATAGTGACAACACATAGTTCCCCACGTTCCAAAGTTGTTACAAATTCACCAGTTGATTCGTTCAGTTCTTTCTGAATTTCCCTTGTAAGTGAACTAGATTTAACATAAACGTCAGGCATTTCATGCGGATATCTTTGAGGCAAACAACAATTCACTTCCAAGTACTCTTGACTGTTAAAGTTGTAACTTAGAAAAAGATTGAGAGTGAATGCTATTCGGTTTGGTTTAATATTTATGCTGCCTGATAAGTAATCTTGTATTTCAGCCAAACCAGCGAGGTCTATATTCAATTCTTTTCCTTCGGTAAACATTGACTGGAGAATTTCTATCTCAGATAATTGTAGACTTAACGATTCGTCAATATCACCATTTTCAGCTTCGCTCTTATCCGCCATGTTGAAAATGTTAATGAGTTAATGACGTCATAAACCCTGTGGTATCTGCCAAATTTGCCAACCGAGGATTTGCGTAGCGAGGTTTCCAGTTTACGCCACCAAACAACGAAGATTTTCTCCAGATTGTCCGGTTTCCTCCTTTAGTAACACTGGATGAATTGTTCTGTTTGAAAACTCTATTCCCTATCGTTGTATTTATTTTTGTCAAAATTACAAAGCTTGATTGATGCAATAAAGTTAAACTCTTTCAAGAAATTCTCAAAACATAGCAATAATCAATATATATATATAATTAATGTTCTATTTAAATAATACCATGTATAATGTATACAATTCCCTTACATACTGAATTTAGTGAATTATAACAATAACATACGAGTAACTTACAAATTACAATGTACAATTTGTTTACAAACATCTAATAAAATTAATAATCTATCACATGAGTCATGAGTGAAACAACTAATTTATTCTCCATGTTCTTGAGATATACCGTAGTTATATGTGTGCTAAGTATACGTTATAAGTTTATCTGAGATCATATGACCTCATTTGTCGCCCGTAGTCATGAACAGTGCACGCATGCGTTCTTTGTGCTAAAGTATTTATGAGCCTGAAGGCTGAAACCAGGGGGCAGTTGTTCGAAAGCGGACCAGATAAGCTCTACCTTAGGTTACAACATAAAATTCAATAAGCTTCCCAACAGCTTGTTTATAAACTTGGAAATATTTCTTCAGAAATCTTGTGTGGATCAATTTCTTTTATAAAGTTTTGAAATAAACAAACGTGCAGAGTACTTAGCCGAGGCACTAGTCCAGCTTTAAACTAACTGGCCCCTGTTTAAACTGACATCAGCTGATGATGATTTTGATATAAAATCGAAATATATCACAAACTCATTCTCGCTTGTTTCGAATCATATCTTGAGTTTCAAGATGGTAATCTTCGGATGGTGTTTTGTCTTCTAGTTCTAACACAAAATGAGATTATACGTGTGTGTGCAATTAGTTTAAATATTTTGAAGAACTTATGTGCAAATAATATAAAAGTCATCACATGTTTCCATTGCTGCTTGACAATCTTCAAAAGGACATTTGACGCTATCCAACTTCTGTCCACAGTAATTACAGTCGTAGAGACTAGACACACACGCTGGAGTCAAGGCATTGAAACCAGCCCGTTCCACAATAGCTCCCGGCGAAATAACCGTACTATAGCTTGTTGCGTTATATTTCCAAGAACAGGCATCGATTGTCGATTTCGACGTATAGGGCTGGTGATCGTAACTTTTACAAAATGTTTGGTATTCACGACACCAATTTTCCGTTTTCGATTGTCTGTGTAAAGGGATCCTCACCTGGGCGACCAAGAAAGCTGCGTCGAACCACACATCGCGGATATTTTGGATTTCGAAATTTGTCTGCAAGTTTTCATCCAACGAACCACAGACCGCGTAGAATACTCTGCGCTGATTGGCTGACTTTGTACATGACCCACAATGCGGTATTTCAAACTGCCTACCACATTCCTGAGCGCTGCATTTTTGAAGAGAATATATATCACTTGTCGTTGCGTTTGGAAATCCAGCAAGATGAACAACATTAATCAACGATCCAGGGCTGAATTTTGAAGCATAGATACTAAAATACTCAACGCTACATCCCCGACTTGACAAGCTGGTTAAAGGCCTCATGTTGTGCGCATGACACAACCGTTCGTAGTCGCGACACCAGCTCTCAAACTTGGACAGACGATGCATTGGGATGCGAACTTTCAATACTGCATACGTAGTGTCGTTGGAATATAACGTCTTATTCTCAAGTACATAGAAGTTCGATGCTTGTGTATTTTCAATGCAAAGTCCATAAACGTTCCGAGTTACACCATTAAGACAGTACAGTGAGCTACTGCAGTTATATGAATATGGACTGTTTTGACAGCTTTCGTAAGAGCACCCCTTGAATGCAAACGTATTCCCATATTCAGCTTCACTATAGCCAGCTTGCGCAGCCATCTGATGTGCAGCATCAATATCAGACGTCTGTATCACAGCATCGTAGTCATCGCGACATTTAAGAAGTTGTTCGGTAACTACGCCCGAGTGCAACGCAGCCGGACTTTGACCAATAGTATGACAGAGTTCAGAATAATCCTTACACCACGTAGTGGACGTACGCTCGGACAATAATGCTGACACAACAGTATAAACGGCGCCAGAGATAGACACTTTCCGCGAATCCAGAATTTTAAAACTTGAAGTCTCTTTGGTACAAATAACATAAACATAATCCGTAGGGTTTGAATTAATACAAGATAGTGCACCATCGCACCCAGACGAGGGTAGCTCTTTAGAACAACTGTTGCAATTATTTAAAATAAACGTATTGCCTTGTTTTGCACTTGAAAATCCTGCCTGTAGAGCGATATTCGAGACGTCTTTTCCATCACACGAAAACGAGGATTCCTTTGCAGTATATTTCTTTGCACATCCCATAGAATTATCCTCTTCATGACAAGCTAAAGGCCGAGCATTGTAGCTCTTACAGAGCTTTTCATACTCCCGACACCATGTCGCCGACTTAGCTCGTCCATCAGATGGTAGTTTGGCTTCAAGGACCAAATAGTTTGTGTTATTGAAAATTGTGGGCGACGTACTTCGGACATTAAACGCAGTCGTAGGATTAACACATACCGTGTAAACTTGTCGTTGCCAAACTATGTTATTGATACAGTTCAATGCCCCATCGCACTCGTTGGTCAACTTCGACGTACAAGCATCGCAATCATGAAAGACAAAACTGTTCGCCGGGATAGCATCCTTAAATCCCGCCTTTTTTGCAATACTGCTGACGATTTTAGTATCGCCACATCCAAGAATATCATTGGCTGGCATATACGAGCCGTATTGTGCACCACAAGAAGAATAATTTGAGTGCTTTGTGTTATCTCCTCCGCAACCTGTGGGCAGCATATCGTAGCTTACACAAAGTTCTTTATAATCCTGACACCAGTTAGCCTTATACGATTTACCGTCCTCTGGAATTTGAGCGTGGAGAACTAAGTAGTCCATATGGTCAAATGTGATCGATTTAGCACCCAACACTTCGAAGTTGCTTTCGATAAGTTTATTCACGCATACTGTATAGACTATAGGATTTTCTGGAGTCCAGGTTAGACACGGCAAACTCCTATGGCAAGTGGACGACAGTTGAGACACAGACGATCCATTACAGTGCGAGAATCCGAACGAATTACTTGGGCGAGCATTCACAAATCCAGCATTCCGTGCAAGCTTAGCTATGACGTCATTCGGATTGCAACCAAGTTCGTCGCCGTGTAATACATACGAACTATACTTCGACTCACAGGCTGAAACGCCGCGGCTACTTTCGCCCGGAACTACTCCACACCCCGTCGGTAGTTCGTTATAGAAGCCACATAGGTTCTTATAATCTTTGCCCCAGTCGGAATCGGCGGATGATTGGTTGATCACTTTCGCTTGTACTACACGAATTCTTAGGCGACCGTGGCGAACCAGTTTTGTAGCAAGCGGTTGGAGGCTTGATTCAGTCTCAGTCCCCCCGCAAACCGTGTAGACCTCTCGTAATGGTACGTTAGTGGTTAGACAATTCAAAGCTTTGTCACAGTTCGAGGCGTGGAAATTTTTAGAACACATGGTGCATCGATGAAAAGCGAACGAGTTTTTAGACAAAGGTCCAACAAAACCAGCAGTCCTTGCCATTCTATAAACTTCCGTAGGGCAGTTATACTTGCGACTTAAAACCGAGCTATATTTCTGTTTACAGACACCATAGTCGTTTGCGGATAACCCACCACCAGTACAGTATAAGGGTCTTAGGTTAAATGATTGACATAAACGTTGGTAATCTTCACACCAGGTGTCAAACAAAGGCGCGCCATCTACGGGTAGTCGTGCACGGATCATTGTGTAGTCATAACCATATAACCTTTTTTCCAGCTTTTCAATCACATTGAAGTTGCTGTCAGAATTTGAGACTACGCATGCTGTATACACGTGGTCATGTAGTACTTCATGACTTAAACAATGAACGGCATCACTGCAGCCAGTTAAAGGTAGCCTTGACGTGCATTTAGCATCATTACAGTTACTCAAGGAGAAAGAATTAGACAGACTCGCTCTTCTGTATCCTGCCATACGAGCCAGTTGTGAGACGAAGCCATTAGAAGGACATGCGTAGTCCACGTCGCTCATCATAATTGCACCATACCTTGACAAACATTTCACGTAATCTGTATCAAATTCAAACTTTCGGGGACAAGCCAACGGTGAACTCTGAAATGCTTTACACAAATTCGCATATTCCATGCACCAGTTTATCGACTTCGAGACAGCGGACAATAGTTTTGCTTGAATAATAAGATACTCCCTGCCAGAATTTGTAGTCGTATGTGTACTCTGGACTCTGAAACTAGTGTCGCTGCTGGACCGTATACAAACGGTGTTAGCTTCCCCTGACATTCTTGCTAGAGAGTTACTGCTTGGGAACCAACAACGTGTCTCGACACGAGGTATTTTGTGCTCAAATGTTTGATTCACAGTAACATTGAAGAAGAAAAGGCTAACCCCGGATCCATTTAAATCAAAATTCCACTTACATGTGTTACTTTTGAAAATATCCGTTAATTTCTCACCATCGATCTTGTATGATGGCTCACCACTTGGGGGACTAGGAACAGTCAAGCAATGTCGTGCTTCTGGGACAATAATAGTTTCAGTTTCATTTAAGGCATTTAATATGGTCTTTGTAGTGTTTACAATGTAATCTGCACGGGTGAATTCAACTTGTGTTGCGTTCGTTTCGAACCAAGAATCATAGTGGGTGATATCAGCGCATTTAATATTCGGCATCTTAGCAACGCATGACTTGGACACGTCACACAAATCCATTGCAAAGGAGTTGGTATCGTTCACATGGTCAAATCCAGCTTGTTTTGCAATAGATGCCACTCCGGTTTTTGCAGGACAGGCGAGATCAGAATTAGTCTTTGATATCGACCCAAAATTGTAAATGCACTTTCTTTGCTCCCCACTACTGTGTTTACAAGTCAGCGGTTTCATAGCGTAACCCTCGCAAAGTCGTTTATAATCTTCACACCAATTTATATGTTTCGATTGTCCCTCAACCGGTATCGCAGCTCGTATAACCAGATAATCCTGTTCTGCTATGGAGACCGGTTTCGTGGCAATCACGTCATAGGCGCTATCTGATGACGCGCACAAGATGTAAAATACCCGGTCGGTAGAATTGACCATAAATGGCGTGAAGGGATGTTCTGCCGAGGGTAGGAACTTCGTACAATGCTGAGCTAGACAGGATTTAAATATGAATGAATTTTGTGGCGTTGCGGTAGTAAACCCCGCAGATTGGGCAATTTCATGGACGTTGAATTTTTCTAAGCAGTCTATGGTATCGTCAGAATACATTAACGCATTGTATCCATCTCGGCATTGCGCATGCTCTTCGATATTGTCCGCTGACTTACCACAACCGATAGGGCGCAGACCGTACGATTGACACAGTCGTGAATAGTCTACACACCAGTTCTCATGGAGCGACTCTCCGTGATGAGGAATGGTCGTCATGACAACAGAAACAGGCGATCCACGGTGGTGAACAGCTCGTTTCTCGAGCACTTTAAAGTTGCTATTTGATCCGGTGCATAAAAGATATACGTCAAAAGAAGTGTTCGTTATGTAATGTGTTACATTTGTCCCGTTGGGAGAATAAGTCCTGTTCCAATTTTCACTGAAATTTTTGGAGCACATTTCACAGTTCCACAACCCTAGACTTTCGTTAACACTAGCAGGAAATCCGGCATGCCTTGCGACGGCCGCGAACTCTTCAGAGCCTGGGCACGACATCCCTTCCATCATGATGGCGTCGTAACGAATGCGACAATCACGTGATTGTTTCAAAATTTCAAATTCCTTCCCACAACCAAGCGGGCGTTTGCCAATAGCTTGACAGAGCATCTTATAATCCTCGCACCAGGTCTTGGATCGTGACTGACCGTGAGAGGGTATCTGAGCCTTCACTACAGTGTACGACTGGTCAGCGTACATCACCTCTCGTGCATCTTCCACTTCGAAATTCGAGGCGGAAAAATCGGAACAAAACGCATACACTTCTTCGCTGAAATTGAAACTCGAACACTTTTTCCCGGCCGGGCACCCCGACATGTGTAGTTGGTGTATGTGACACGGGCAACATTCGGTGCAGTTGTTGTGGTAACAATCTGAAATCACTTCGCACGTATTGTTAGCCAATCGTGTGTCGTTAAAGCAATCACGTGCCATACCACAGTTTTGTGTCAGCGTTTGAGCACCTAATCCTCGCTCAACGCACGCTTTCCAGGTCCTGGCAAAGCTAGTGTTTTTGTGGATTAGGGTAACCAGAGTTTTTTCGGGGACAGATGTGGGATTTGCATTACCAGAGGAATTCAAACATTTACAGCACTTCTTTGGGATCGATTCTGCAAATTCTTTAGAAAGGTTACGGGAAACCAGTTCCTCTGTTGGTATTAGCGAACCTTCAAATAACATAACATTTTTAACTTGTGAAAAACCAGCTTGTATAGGTAGCAACTTGAGCTTTAGAATGTCAGAACAACCCTCTGATAAAAATGTATTGTATTCTTCTTGGTTTTTATACTGCATAGTATTACCAGGTTCGCGACAAGAGAATGGTCTTTTTCCAAGCGATAAGCACATCTTGTTGTAATCGTATCCCCAATTTTTGTGAAAAGAAGTGTCGTTTGAAATAACTTTTGTTTTAACAATAGTCAATCGTACGTTTTGGTGATCGGTCTGTCTAGTTTCCAGGACTTTGAAGTTGCTTTGTAACGTGGTACAAAAAGTGAGGGTAGTTTTGACTTTATCCGGGCAATTTGAGTTGCTTTGACAGGGTTTCCACATAGTCTCGTTGCAATTGTCACATCTTGCAGGCATAAACACGCTTGAATTTCTAATAAAACTTTCATCAACTAGCTTCCTCAGTACATCAATATTTTTCAACTCGCAAGAGTTGCTGGTGTTGGCGAAATCTGTGCTACAATTCGAGGACGACGAAATTGAAACTTTCTGTGGATTTTCACAAACAACCGACTGCATACCAAAAGAGTTGCAAAGATTTTTATAGTCCAAACACCAGTTTTGATTCCTTGAAATGCCATTTTCGGGGATACTGGATCTGATTAAGAGATATGGGACTCCCTTGTGCTTGATATGACGAGTTTGTTTCGCTATAAAGTTGCTGTTCGAATCGGTACATACAGTGTAAAGTTGGGGAGGTTCGTTCCAAAGACAATCCAAGCCCGAGGCGCATTTTGAGTCGAGAAATCGAGGGCAGGATTTCGGATTACATTCACTGAATGCAAATGAGTTATCCCGTGATGCTTCGCGGTATCCAGCTGAGTTCACCATGATTGAAATCTGCTCGCGAGTGAAGAGGGTTAAGTTCTTATCCTCGGGAACAACAATGGACATATAGTCTGGGATACAGGACCCCAAGTGACTGTCACGTGATTCTGCATTACTTTCACGTGATAAAATACTCACAGGTCTCATTTCGTATTCATCACAAAGTCGTTGATAATCAACACACCAGTTTTCATATTTTGAAACACCGTGCGATGGAATTCTTGTTTTGAGAACCAGATATGACCGGTTTTGATAATTTATTCTGCTGCTGTCCAAAACGTGGAAATTTGTATCGCTGTTTATGCATACAGCGAAAACGACGTCATTGTTTTGAGATATGAGATTTTTGCTCAAATTCATCGCAGGCTCTGTAGCCGAAGAAAAATCCGAAATATCAGCAAAACAAGAATCGTTACATTTTTCAAGAAATGCGAAAATATTTCCAACATTGGCATTCTCGTAGCCCGCGGTTTTCACGAGGTATTCAACTTTTTCAGTACTGGATACTTCATCTCGTGTAGGTGATATCGCTCCGTGATTGCGTTCACAGCCGACGTCAGCATCCTGTGACATCATAAGCGGTCTCCATCCGTAAGAGTTACAAAGAGATTGATAATCATGACACCAGGTTTGTTGTTTTGAGATATGGTTGGGAGGTATACGTGCTTTTATAATCTTGTACGCACCCCCCTGGTAGGACACGTTCCTACTTGATTCCACGATGAAACTAGTGTTTGAGCCCACGCACAACGTGTACAGCGATTGGTTTCGTCCAATACTTCGTGTAGTCACTTGGGCATATAATGCTATAGTATTGCTGTAGTCTTTGGTACAAGTCGATTCGTTACAAATGGAAAATGCAAATGAATTATTAACACTTGCATTCAGATAACCAGTCTGATTAGCTAGAGAAATTACTCCCAAATTGGAAGGACAACCTATTGCGTTATCCCTAGGAAGTATTGCATCATAGGTATCCCGACATGCAGAGTGAGACGATCCACCCGATTCCGTCCCGCAGCCAACAGGCCGCTGACCATAAGAGAGACATAGCTCTTTATAATCCTCGCACCAGGACTTGTGCCGCGCCAAACCGTTCTGAGGTAAGGTGGCCTCAATGATTAAATATTCCTGACCACGCACTGCCGAGGGCTTCGTGGAAACAACTTCAAAGTTAGAATCCGATCCCTCGCAAAGCAGATACACGACCTCAGTACTTGGTGTAAAGTTAGCTTTAAATGAATCAGGAATATAAATATTTGAAGTGGTAGCATTGCCAAAGCCCGCATTAAGGGCGACTGTTTGCAACACGTCAGCCTGGTTGCAGGCAATTTCGTCCTGCATCAGTTCAATCGCAACTTTGCCTGTTGGGGTGGAAGAAAAGAAAGCATTAGTTGTTGTTTCTGGTGAGTTAGATTGAGGATATTTAACAGTACTACTCGTCGGTGCATAGGTTGTTGTTCCTGGTGAATTAGATTGGGAATATTCAACAGTAATATTCGTCGGTGCATAGGTTGTTGTTTCTGGTGAGTTCGATTGGGAATATTCAACAGTACCACGCGTCGGTGCATAGGTTGTTGTTTCTGGTGAGTTGGATTGGGAATATTCAACGGTACTATTTGTCGGTGCATAAGTTGTTGTTTCTGTTGAGTTAGATTGGGAATATTGAACGGTACTATTCGTCGGTGCATAGGTTGTTGTTTCTGGTGATTTAGATTGGGAATATTCAACAGTACCACGCGTCGGTGCATAGGTTGTTGTTTCTGGTGAGTTAAATTGGGAATATTCAACAATAGTATTCGTTGGTGCATGGGCTGTTGTTTCTGGTGAGTTGGATTGGGAATATTCAACAGTACCACGCGTCGGTGCATAGGTTGTTGTTCCTGGTGAGTTGGATTGGGAATATTTAACAGTACTATTCGTCGGTGCATAGGTTGCTGTTTCTGGTGAGTTAGATTGGGGATATTCAACAGTACCACGCGTCGGTGCATAGGTTGTTGTTTCTGGTGAGTTGGATTGGGAATATTCAACGGTACTATTTGTCGGTGCATAAGTTGTTGTTTCTGTTGAGTTAGATTGGGAATATTGAACGGTACTATTCGTCGGTGCATAGGTTGTTGTTTCTGGTGATTTAGATTGGGAATATTCAACAGTACCACGCGTCGGTGCATAGGTTGTTGTTTCTGGTGAGTTAAATTGGGAATATTCAACAATAGTATTCGTTGGTGCATGGGCTGTTGTTTCTGGTGAGTTGGATTGGGAATATTCAACAGTACCACGCGTCGGTGCATAGGTTGTTGTTCCTGGTGAGTTGGATTGGGAATATTTAACAGTACTATTCGTCGGTGCATAGGTTGCTGTTTCTGGTGAGTTAGATTGGGGATATTCAACAGTACCACGCGTCGGTGCATAGGTTGTTGTTTCTGGTGAGTTGGATTGGGAATATTCAACGGTACTATTTGTCGGTGCATAAGTTGTTGTTTCTGTTGAGTTAGATTGGGAATATTGAACGGTACTATTCGTCGGTGCATAGGTTGTTGTTTCTGGTGAGTTAGATTGGGAATATTCAACAGTACCACGCGTCGGTGCATAGGTTGTTGTTTCTGGTGAGTTAAATTGGGAATATTCAACAATAGTATTCGTTGGTGCATGGGCTGTTGTTTCTGGTGAGTTGGATTGGGAATATTCAACAGTACCACGCGTCGGTGCATAGGTTGTTGTTCCTGGTGAGTTGGATTGGGAATATTTAACAGTACTATTCGTCGGTGCATAGGTTGCTGTTTCTGGTGAGTTAGATTGGGAATATTCAACAGTACCACGCGTCGGTGCATAGGTTGTTGTTTCTGGTGAGTTAGATTGGGAATATTCAACGGTACTACTCGTCGGTGCATATGTTGTTGTTTCTGGTGAGTTGGATTGGGAATATTCAACAGCACTATTCGTCGGTGCATAGGTTGTTGTTTCCGGTGAGTTGGATTGGGAATATTCAACAGTACTATTTGTGGGTGCATAGGTTGTTGTTTCTGGTGAGTTGGATTGCGAATATTTAACAGTACTATTCGTCGGTGCATAGGCTGTTGTTTCTGGTGAGTTAGATTGGGAATATTCAGCAATAGTACGCGTCGGTGCATAGGTTGTTGTTTCCGGTGAGTTAGATTGGGAATATTCAACGGCACTACTCGTCGGTGCATAGGTTGTTGTGTCTGGTGAGTTAAATTGGTAATATTGGACAGTACTATACGTCGGTGTATAGGTTGTTGTTTCTGGTGAGTTCGATTGAGAATATTTAACAGTACTACTCGTCGGTGCATAGGTTGTTGTTTCTGGTGAGTTAGATTGGTAATATTGGACAGTACTATACGTCGGTGTATAGGTTGTTGTGCGATCTGGTGAGTTGGATTGGGAATATTCAACAGTACTACTCGTCGGTGTATAGATTGTTGTTCTTGGTGAGTTATATTGGGTATATTGAACAGTACTACTCATTGGCATATAGGTTGTTGTTTCTGGTGCTGTATTTTGCATATTCTTACACGCGAGATTTCGGCGACCATAATGCGAGCATGTTTTAGAATATTCTTCAGCCCAGTTGGATACATCGCCTCCCATAACTTTCGCTTTCATTACAAGATAAGCTTTCTTATTGTATGTTGTTGTTTTTCTTTCCAAAATATCAAACATTGACTGTGGCTTGACACACACCGTGTATACGTCGTCGTGTCGCGAGGGTTTAATACACCCTAGTCCTTCACAGTTTGAAATTGTCAAAACCGTCGGACACCGCGTACACTTATCCAATCCAAATGAATTATCCGTATTAGCTGAGGCAAACCGTGCTTGTTGAGCAATGCTTGCAATCCTGGATTGAGGTGTTGATCCAAAGAAAACCCCATCTATCATTACGGATCCATATTTATCCCTACAGGAAGTGTATTCATGATCTTGTATGATGTCAGTTCCAGTCGCTCGCAGTCCATAAGATTCGCAAAGTTTTGTGTAATCTCGACACCAATCTTCTTGAGTTGATTTTCTATCGCGCGGTAGTCTTGCTTTGATCACTAAAAAGTTAATATTATTAAAGACTGTCCAGCGTTCTTCCAACACAGTAAAACTGGTCAAAGGTCCTGTACATAAAGCATGATAAGTATAATGAGTGTATTGTAAACATTTTAAAGCCCCACAGACGGGAAAATCTTTGTTACAAGAACTACCACAAATATGAAAGTTGAAACTTTCTGTTGTCGACGGCATCCCGGCATTTTGGGCCATGCTGGCAACTTTGTCCATATTGTTTCCACATCCTAACTCATTCGTAACCGGCATAATAGATAAATATTCATCTCTGCAACTTGAATAGCTCGTATCTCCGCTATACGCAATCCCGCAACCCGTAGGCCGTTTTCCGTATGACTCACAAAGTCTCTGGTAATCCCGACACCAATTTTCATGTCTTGAGCTCGTATTCAAAGGCTTTACATACAAAGCAAGGTAGTTTACACCTTTATGTGTTGTATAACCTTTGTCTTCAACTACGAAATTACTTTCAGGGTCAGTACATAGTGTAAACACATCTCTGTTGCCCTGGTTGATACAATATAGAGCCCCATGGCATCCGGAGTCAGGCAAGGTATCAGTGCATTTGCTAGAACCACAGTTTGAAAACGCGAACGAATTCATCGAATTGGCTGTCGAAAAGCCAGCCATTTTGGCAATAAGTGAGACTTTCTCATTCGGTGGGCAAGCCAGAGTGTTGTTATGTGGCATCACCGAGTCGTATATAGTTTGGCATTGGTGCATTTCTGTGATATGATTGGACGAACAGCCACATCCGGTTGGTCTTGTCTTGTTCAGCGAATAACAGAGTTCAGTGTAGTCATGACACCAAGTTTGATGGCGTGAGCGACCATCCTGCGGGATCCTCGCGTGAACTACAGTATATCGGGATGACTCGTAGATCACACTCGCAGTACCGAGAACTTCAAACGCACTTGCATGAACTGAAAAAAATAAAATTACTATAATGGTTTTGCGAGAATAATCAGTGTATAGCCCAGCCTAGACCTAGGCCCTTTACTCGGAAGGCTTGGGCAGGTTTGGTCAATTTTGGGCTAGGATTTTTTAAGTGTGACGTCACAAACGAAATAAAAGCAAGGCTATTTCGATTCCGCTGTCGCCCTTTCTCCGCCCCACTACTAAATCGTCTGGGTCCCAGTCTTCTCACGTGAAAAGCGGTTGGTAAACAACAAAGGGCCAATTCATTTGATTTTTTATCGGAATGGAGTAAGACAATCTGATACGAAATCCGCTAATCGCGTAACTGGATGCCATCAATAAGATGCAATGAGGAAAAAAGCTTGTCATTTCTTAAACCTACCATGTTCACAGTTTATCCCTGAATATCCCTGACGACAGTGACATGAATAACTGTTCACGTGATCAACACAATGTCCATCATGTTGGCAAGGCCTGCTCGCACATTCGTCTGTTTCTACAGTTGGAAAATAGAATATTATTCAACCCTTGTTGGGATTACACTTAATGAAATTATCGGAACAATCGAGGTTCATCTCTGCAGTTCAAATCCTAGAGTTTCTTGGATTATAGTTTTGCCTCCGTTACATGTGAGAAAATTCCTTCCAATTTGACTCTGCAAACACCGCATGAACTTTCTGCGTGCTATGTTTCTTTCCCGTATAAAACTTACTCTGATAGAGCACGGTTAATAGAACTAGTTCTATTAACTGTGGACAGAGCTATCTGGTAAAAATGCAGTTTAGTTTAGCTTAGTTTCGTGCAAATGTTCGTTAAGAACTTACCCATTTGACAAAATTCCCCGACAAAACCTGGCGGACATTGACAGGTGAAGTTTCCTAAACCATCAATACACGCAGAACCAGGGGAGCACGGCAAAGAAGAACAGTCGTCGATGTCTGGAAAATACAATTGAAGAGATTCTTTTCTTTACGTCGACCTGATACGTTAACATGGTAAGCAAAGCGTCCATGATGCAATTGTTGCAAGTTGTTGTTACTTGTATTGTTGTTACCGCTTTGGTTGTTGTTGTTGTTGTTACTGTTGTCGTTGTCGTTGTCGTTGTTACTGTTGTTACTGTTACTGTTGCTGTTGTTGTTGTTGTTGTTGTTGTTGTTGTTGTTGTTGTTGTTGTTGTTGTTGTTGTTGTTGTTGTTGCTGTTGCTGTTACTGTTGCTGTTGTCGCTACTGCTACTGTTGTTGCTGTTGCTGTTACTGTTACTGTTGTTGATATTGTCATCGTTCTCGTTGTTGTTGTTGTCGTCGTTGTCATTGTTGACGATGTTGTTGTCTCGTTGTCGTTTGAAAACTATTCAAACAGCAGACTCTTACCTCTCTCACATCTTTCTCCGGTATAAAAAGAGTTACAAATACAATAAAACATGTTGAAGCCATCTACGCATTTTCCGTTATTAAGACACGAGTTTTCCGCACAGTCGTCAACTTCTATAACAAAATAAGAATAAAATTTAATTTTAAAAGTGAATATGTGCTTCTACACAAGACTTTGTATCTTGACCATTATTCTTAGATAATTCAACAAATTACAAAAAATTGGAAATGCCAGAGCATTATTCTATATATTTCTAAATGCTTCATCGTTTCGGAAGTCTCTTCGTGTCTACTTACCGTGATCACAAATATCCCCAGTATACCCTAGAGGGCACGTGCAGTTGTAACCGCCATCAGACGTCACGTGACAAACTCCCGCGTTATTACACGGGCTGCTCACACAGACATCCGGGTATTCTGAAATATACATTACAATAAATATATATATAGAAATTTAGGTTTGAAGTTTGAAAATAGATTATAGTAGAAATTTGGAAATAGATCTATTCTTAACTAGTAGATTTCGTTCCCAGCGTCGACATTGTCTAAAAGGGACTCAAGCAAATTCGAGAAGTGTCTCTTCAAAATGGATTTACCTTTGCACCGCCATGTTGCAATTATCGACCAATAACCACCTGGTGGTAGATGGTAAACGCCAAGTGACGAAGCTGAAAAAATATATAAAAATCTTAGTTTAGTGGTTTAGGTCTTTATTTAGCTTGTCCAGACTTTAATTTTACACAGCTAATTATTAGTGGACATCGATAACAATCCAAGAGATGAATGTTGAAATACAGCCAGGGATTATTTTAAGGTGCAGTGATATAACCAATTTGTGAAGTGATAAATGGGATTTATGCAGTGATAAATGGGATTTGTGCAGTGATAAATGGGATTTGTGCAGTGATAAATGGGATTTGTGCAGTGATAAATGGGATTTGTGAAGTGATAAATGGGATTTGTAAAGTGATAATTTGGTTTTCAAGGTGGAATGTATCAAAAATTGTGTCTGTAAATGCAAGAAATCAACCTCTGGAGGCTAAAAAGTCCGACATTTTCTGGATAAGGACCCCCAGGTCCCCCCAAAAAGTTCTGTCTATTGCGATTTCCCATCACTAGTTGGGTATCTTTTGTTATAGGTTCCATTTACAAATTCGTAAATTTTCCTGTTTTGGATTTCCTAGTACAGCACTCAGCGCTCCTTCGCTATGTGATATGCTGCTATTTTATGTATCTTTGTGCAGTAATAAAATTTCTTTAAAATAATCCCTGAACACAGCCATAACATTACTTCTACTATAGACTGTTTATTGACTTCTATTAGTGTCAAAACTATGTCTTAGATTGAAATTTTAACTAACAATTAGCTCTCTAAAAATCACAGATTTGATTTTATTCAAAATTTTCGTCTACCATTGTTGGTGCAACAGACATTAAAAATGTCTCTATTGGTGTGAAACTGTTTTCCATAGAAGTCCAATAAGGGCCATGCCTTATTGGTCCAGGGTTACTACAAGAGAAAGGCTAAACTTACTTTATTTATACCGTGTATCCAGTATAAATAAAGTGAGTTTACTAGGTTTTTTCAGTTCTAAACTGTTCTCACTAGAGGTCCGGTAAGGCGTGTATCCAGTATAAATAAAATGAGTTAACTAGGTTTTTTCAGTTCTAAACTGTTCTCACTAGAGGTCCGGTAAGGGTCATCCCTTCTTGATTTTAGTTGATGAAGAAGAAAAGTGCATCCGGTGTAACCCAGCGATTTAAAACCGCCACCGGCAAGAAATTTACGATGTAAGAATATACAATTACTTTATGGTTTCCGTGTTTGGATGGCCTGATCCAAACACGCGGGAATGTTGCGAGAGTTAAGAAAAGCGAGCGAAATCACGAGCCGAAGGCGAGTGATTTTGCCCGCTTTTCTTAACTCGAGCAACATTCCCAAGTGTTTGGATCAGTCCATCCAAACACGGAAACCATAAAGTAATTGTTTTATAAAATAACAACAACACGGTAGTCTTCCGTGTTTGGATGGCCTGATCCAAACACGGCTTTCGACCAATCAGAATACGCGTTATATACATGTTATTTTATAAATACACATACTAAACTCAGCTTACCGGAAAAGCGATCACCCGAATTAGCAATAAGGGTAAGCACTGGCAGATGTCGATCCGTCTCCAACAGCCCAGTGACTGGAACATTTGGAATTTCTACCATTTTATTCAGACTGCCTTTTATTTTATCCCATTCGCTATCTTCGACTTCACTCCATGCTCCCCTACCAATCCAGTTCGTGTTCACCAAACGATCTCTTCTATCCATTGACACTCCGTATAGTTCCCCGGTAACCTCATTTATACCAAGTAGTCCCGCAACATGACTTAGATCTAAAAGACAAGTGAGCTGTATAGATACCTGGAGTGATATATTTGGTATTGTGAGTGATGGCGGATGTGGACGATATTTCACCAGTTTACAAGATCGCCCACTTGGACACTGAGAATATCATAATCACTACTTACTCCTCGTTAATCACTCGTTGTTACTCTAGTTATGTTTTGCATTGTCAATTTTTTAAAAATATATAGACTGGACGCACCCCATTGAAACCAGGTTTTGCCAATGGGGCTAGCGTCAAGTTTATCATCGTCATTATCACCGGCATATTTTAAACACCAAACAGTGCACTGTCCAAATGAACAAGATATTTATATCGCGTTCATACACAAACAAATTGTTGGACGAACTATCTTTTCTATACCTAAGGATGTCCAGACGGACAATCCGTAAATTATATTATAGATTGTTCATGGCAGCCTACCTCGCCACGTACGTCCATTGTCAAACGTTAAGCGACAGACAGGATCTTCACGATTGCTACAAAGGATGCAAAAAAATACTTTCGTCACCACAACTATTTGCATCACAATGATTGTAGAATAGTATTCGAGTATCCAAAGGCGATGTTATCCGAGGCAAATTTGCTGCAAGTTGCAAAGCAATTTTGTATGCTGAGCCATGATATTATGAGCCGTGTATTAAAAAAATGTACCTTTTCAAATTCAAATTAGCCATAACCTTTTAAATATTCATTGCTCTGCAGTAAGCTTGTCCATTTTATATCTTATGCAGACTTGAATAATGCTTAATTTAAACGTTTTTCTTTGAGTTGCGTTTTTGTTCATACAAATAGAAGTTATCCTAAATTCCCATGTGCAGAAGACCTTGTGTTTTCACGCATTATTAATTCGAGAAATTATACGGCTGTCATATTACTACAATAGATTATGGTTAATTTGAATTTGAAAGGGTGCACATTTTTTTGATACACGCTGTACTACTCTAAAGCTTAGTTACTTTTGTTCTATTCTATGCTTTTGTAAACTAGAACAATAGTAAAGCCAAATTTGTGTATTGTCTTTACGCTTACCTCAAATGAAAAGAATGGCACAGGTACAATGTGTTATTCAAACGATTTAAGAGAAAGCTTCTTTCGAATATTGGCAGCAACTCTGTGTAAATAAAGATCAATAATTAGTTACAAGTTTAATGATTGCTTCTTTGCGAATTTTTTTCTTACTTTCCGCATGTGTTGTTGAGTTAAATGTGTGCGTACTGGCTCTCCGTGTGGAAGTATGGAAATTATTTTCGAGCGTTTTCAATATCGAGTGAGCGAAGCGGATGTGTGAGATATGAAAGCAAAAGAAAACAAAATCCGTTTCTTCAAGCGCCATATCATCTTTTTGTAGATATCAATGAACTATCAAAGACAAAGCTATTTGGGACCAGACACAGGCATTAAAATACGGAATTTTTACAAGGACACACTTTGCCTTAAAAGGCGTATTTTTGGTATAAATGTGCAGCTTTACGAGAAAGAGTGACGAAGCCACAAGTTTGGCATCGAAGACGCGAGCTTTTAAGCCGGTTTTCCACTAGGCGGAATTTTGCGCGCGAAGCGGAATTTTTCTTCGTCTTATGATTCCTCGGGTGGAACTAATTAGAAAAGAGTAAAAGACCAGGAAAAGACAAAGAAAAATTCCGCTCCGCGCGCAAAACTCCGCTAGTTGAAAACCGGCTTTAAGGGGGTCTCTGAAATGGCATTTCCAGTGTTCTGAGAACAGAATTTGGAAAATATTTGGCAATTTTGCGTGGATTACATTAATATATTTTCTGTTTAATATATTTTCAAGTACACACTTTTCAATTTACAAGGGCACATTCGCCTTTTACAAGGACACAAAGTGTGTACAAGGACACGCTATTTTAATGCCTGACCAGACATTATTTATGGCGGGGGGTGGCACCGAAGAGAAATGCTTTTCTTGGTAAACATTTTGCTGATTCAACACTTTCAACCATTAAAAAGTTTAAAACAATTTTTAACCAACCTCAAATATTAACTAAAAAATAAATACCCACCCCTGGCCAAAAACATGAGTTTGATCAACATACTGGGAACAAGCAGTGCGAGTACATCCTGTTGAAACAAAGTCTGACACACACGTAAAACCACTCAAGTTGTAAAAAACAGCAGCAGACTTGTAGCAATGCTCAACAGGATGTGTTTGCACTGCTTGTTCGTAGCTTGTTGACAACTTCTTACAAGGTTGTTGAGCCCAAAAGACTTGTTACAAGTTGTTCCAACAACTTGTTATCGTCCTGCAATTCAACAATTTGCCAACAAGTTGTGAGTGACAACCTTGTAGCAACTTGATAAAATGATAGCATTGTTACAACTTGTTGACAAGCTTGTTGCAAGCCTGTTGCGAAACACATCTTGTTAACGAGATTTTGATGCGTGTATACGGCAATCATATCTCTCAACACAAACCTTCACGAAGATGACAATTGCTCTTCAATCCATCAAAACTGACAAAGGCATCACTACCGCTATCCACAATCCGTATCTGAGCCTCTTTTCCTACCAGCCCCTTGACATCCCAACTCATCGGAACAAGAGACTCATTTCCAGTTTCCGAAAAAGCAGTTCGCGCCGCCAAGCCATCGACAAGCAACTCCACTCGGGATTTCGCCTGGTCAGCAGTACCAGCGAACAAAAAGAAGAGTTTTGATGCCGAAATAATAAACCCCGGGGAGATGAGAGTTCCGGTGGGATAATTCCCCTGGGTACCGCCAGGGATATCACTTGGCCTTCTACGATTCTCTCTCGTCCCAATCCACCGCTCGCCTTCATGATTCACGGCTTGACCAGTTCGGGCGTGCAGGTTGTCTAAAAACGTGGGTTGGTTGTCGAAAGCTGATCCTGTTCTGTTCCACTGCATTAGGCTGAGGTCGCCCTCGAAATCAAATATAGTGCAGTAGTCTAAAATGGAAATAAAAGCTGATCATTATTATAACTCTTGCAGAACCTGCTAACAGCCTGCTACCATGCCACTTCCGAGTAACCATTCCTTCATTCACTTCGGAGTTCATTCACTTCCGAGTTCATTCACTTCATTCACTTCCGAGTTCATTCACTTCATTCACTTCCGAGTTCATTCACTTCCGAGTTCATTCACTTCATTCACTTCCGAGTTCATTCACTTCATTCACTTCCGAGTTCATTCACTTCCGAGTTCATTCACTTCATTCACTTCCGAGTTATCATAATATCATTATTATAACTCTTGCAGCAGAACCCGCTAACAGCCGAGGTGCAGCAGAAACTGCTAACACCCAAGGAGCATGCCATCACAGAGTAACATACAGAGGCTTATCTCAGCGAAAAAACCGTAAGGTGTTTTTTTTTGGCCGCCATGTTCTTAGCCAGTACCTGCACATGCGCAGTTTACGTAAAAAGGCGGCCTCTCTTCACTGGACTGGCTAAAAACATGGCGCATTTTTCCAAAAAAGCCCTTACGCCGACATCAAAGGTGTCGACATTTAAGAGAAGCCTCTGTATGTACTTACCCTATGATGCTATCATGCCACTTCTGAGTGTCTCACCCACTGATCTAGTGGTCTCACCCACAGGAAAATGTCGTACTGTACATGCCTATGGAAGGCATTGAACCAACAAGAACAAGACGCTCACTGTATCTCTAGGAAGAACAGTTTAGAACGAATAAAGCAATCCGATACAAAATAGACTTAGTTTAGGCTTGTCAGTCACTTTCTTCCTATAGTGAAACTGAACCGAAATAAGGCCTTTACTATGCTATAGGAAGAACAGTTTAAACTGACCGTGACAGATACATCCAGTATAAATAGTTAGGTCAAATTTATAGTTTACCTGAAATATACTCATCGTCTTCTTTATACCCATAAAGTTCAAGTCTGAGACAGCCTGTGTTAGATAACTTTTTTGGCTCAAAATAAACATGTCGGGCTAATATTGTCTCCAGAAATTTGTGTCGAATTGTTGTATCTTCAACTGGATTGCCAAGGAATGTCTAAATGATGAAAGGATTTACATACAGGGTGTACAACTAAAAATTTTGAATTATCGCAGCCTGAAAATGCCCCAAATCCTGATTAACCATTGAACATGTAGATCAATTTCTTCACAAGAACCTCTCAGACCTCAATAATTAGGACAGCATTTCCACGAAGAAAACAACATCTCAAAAACCTACCTTGATTGCACTATTTACTTTAATGTATGTCTTTGGTCCTCCATTTTTCTTGTACGCAATTTGAAAACGCTTGATTAATTTATCCGTGGTCTGATACTTGGACTGAACAGCGATCTGAAATTGATCAGAATATACAACTAGATATGCATGTAAAAAGGCTAGTTTAATCTTAACTTCATGGAAAGCTTGTTGACCGTACATACGAGAAGGTAAACTTGTCAAGGAAACTTGACGGTAAACTTGAGTTGTTAAGAGAAAGTAAACTTGTCAAGGAAAACTTGTTGACCGTACACACGAGAAAGTAAAATTGTCAAAGAAATGTTTCAAGAAAAATTTGCTTGTCTGTACGGCCGGGCTTTATATAGCTATGCTTCAATAAAAACACGTGTTAATCATCATACCCCAGCAATAACGTAATTATCTTCCAGGTCAACAGCCAAAATTTGTATGGAATTGCTCTGTGTACACCAGCCTCCTGTGTGAGTGACGAAATCAAGACGTGCATGGTATGGTTTGTAAGTGTGTTCGTTCCCAGACAGGACGGTGATTTTGTTGTCTTCGACACGACCTGAAGATATACCCAGTGGCTGGTAACCTGCTGAAAACGTAAAAAGTGTTATAAATGTTTTGAATTAATACTGACAAGAAAAACGAATGATTAAGTGAAAAAGTAAGCCATTAACGGCAATGCTCCTTATCCACCCTTACTCTGGCGTAGTCCTCAGAACATGCAAGCACTTTTCACCTCTGAGTTCGATTTTGAGTTTCACCTTCGATTCTCGCTATGGACTCATGTGAAAAGAGTCAATGCTGCCAAAAGTCGTGGGTTTTCTCCGAGCGCTCCAGTTTCCTCCCACAGGGAGAGTTGGCAGGGTGGATTAGGATAAACATGGTTAGGAAAGTACTATCACAATTGTTGTAAAGATAAATAGTCTAAGGCTAAGTAGGTAATATAAGTAAGTGTAATACTTGATGTAATCGGTCACTGAAAAGCAGCGATGGGGAGCTGAAAAATATTATTATGTATTACGTGCTTATACTTCAATTACTCTGTGTCTTCCCAATAATGGGCAATGTGCCCTGATGCGGCCTGCTTAATTCTCATCCTATTTTGTCTAACACCAGATAATTCCACCTCTTAAGGGGATACTCATGGGCATTAATGGATAACAAAATTAGCTTTCCAGCCATTTATTATCCTACTCTATATTGTTACTATTATCTTTCTTATCTGTGTTTATCCTAACCCACCCTGTCAACTTCCCCTGTGGGAGGAAATCAGAGCACCCAGAGAAAACCCACTACTTTTCGGCAGAGCGTTGACTGACTGTTTTCACACTGATGAATCCATAGCGAGAATTAAACCCACGAACTCAGAGGCAATAGACGATTGCTCACATGACTACGCCACCGCTTACTTACCAGATAACTTTACTTAAGGGAGACTCTCTAGTCTCTTCTGTATGAGACACTAAATCCGGATTGGATCCCCTATATTCAACAAACCATGTGGAAGCAAAGAGGTCGAAAACGAACTGAATAAAATGATAAGTTGTCTTACCAGGTACTTGGTGAACAGGACACCCAAACAACTGCACTTTGAGAGCAATTTTATCCTTCCACAATTTAGGAACGATTCTCAAGAATTTTGCATCAATTGGCACTTTCAGGATATTGAGCTTCACCGTTGTGCAGTCATTGTTGCCCACGAATTCCTGCAACACAAATGTCAGAAATGCCGTTAGTGATCTTGCTTGGGACTTGTTGAGAGTTGAGAAGCGAAAGTTTGTATGAGAGTTGATGAAAGTTGAGAAGCGAAAGTTTGCATGTCATGCAAAAAAAGGTTGCCGTCATGGGTTGCCGTCTTTGGTGACTAGAGAAATTGTATACATTGTGTAATGACTTTAATTAATAGTGTCTGTTGAGCTTTTTTGTCTCACTTTCCAAATACACCGCCCAGGAAAAATGTCCATCTCGGTAAATTGACCTGAACTGCTCACACAGAGAATTTCATCCCTCCCGATCGAGATCCCACATAGTGCGAGAAGATCTCTGACCTAGCCGTCCAGGCGTGTGACTCATATAAACAGATAAAGATTTTTCTATGCATTAATTAACAAGGACATAATGCGTGGTGAGCCTCAGATGCACAAGAACTATGTCCTCTAATCACAGTTTTCAGTAAACTGACCTGTAAAGATATTCTCAGACGCATAACATATATTCTATAGATCGGAATAGTTTCTCTTGAAAATATATTTACATACATGAGACTGAAATGCTGCGTATGCCATCGCCCAGTCTCGCCCATCTTGGCTGTAATACAGAGCAAATTTTCTGACATATCTCGGAGACGCTAGTTGACCATTCCCCTTGGTACCAACCTAGATATAAAAAAAAATTACAGCGTTTTCTAATATGCTATTATTTCTATTTATTTGCTGATATGTTTCTATTTATTTAAAATAGTTTCATTCTCATTCATTTTCTTTTGTTGTTTTTTGGCTAAGAGTCAACATGTGTCGAATGAGTGAATATATTACTATGGATATTACTCCATACCTTTGTAATGTGCATGAGTTGGTTGAATTCAATTTGCAAATATTGATGAATGTCTTCTGTGTCAGCGGGTGTCCATACTAGGTTATGCGCAAAGTTTGCGTGATGTGGAGAATCCCCAAGAGAGTTATATGATGGTTTTTGAAACGACGAGGCAGAAAAATAACTTTCGTGGAGTTGTAGTTGGCTTTCGCAAGCTAGTAATAAAACACAAAACAGATAAGAAATCCACAAAGATAGTAAATGCATTACAATATATTTAAAGTTTGTTCGTTCACTGCAACCAGGTATATCAATCATGTTTCGTTCGCTACTCTGGTTTATGCTGATAAAGTATTTAAATGAGGAAAAACACCAAAATAGTTCAAACATTTGACATTTTACACTCGTCGCTACTCTTGTCTGCAGCTGACATATTTCGACGGTTTCGCTTCACTTATTTCTGTTTACTTCAATTCAATTATATTTCCCTCGTCAAAAGCTTAAAGCTTGACTAAGCTTTGATGAAGGAGATCCCACTCCTGACACCATGTAACGTCGTGGTTTATATGAATATTTTATTAAGATATATCTAACAGTAAAACCGGTCTATCTTCGTACAAGTATGCATTCCAAATGATGCTGGCTTAATCATGAGACAGCCCTTTATACATAATTACATATTCTATGGTATGCTAATTGTCTTGTGAAATGCTAATACAAATACCGACACAATTGTGTCGGTCAGCGATCGAGAAGCATATGCCACAGGCTGTCCGTCTTGCATTCTGCCTCGTCGTACAAGTTTTGATTATACAAATAATGAATGTTTATAATTATGAGTGCAATGGTAAGAATATTTTTATGAGGTGAAAGATGGAATGTTCCATTCAACGAGGCGACAGCCAAGTTGAATGGAACATTCCATCTTTCACCGAATGAAAATATTCTTACCATTGCACTCATAAACATTCATTATTTGTTTTATATAATACCAAAATAGACTAATATTCCATTGCACGTATTCCATTGCACTCTTGGGAAATGAAATTTTCTATTCAATATCACGTGACCATAAACAGCCAATTAAACGATCAGAATTAAATAAGGTATTATATAAAGCGAAATGATAGAACTACATTGTAATTTCATCTTGCGGCTAGTGAGATGAAAAACATATGAACCAACAGAAATAATATTGGTTCAGCTACACGAATAAAAATCTCACTGCTTGTCAACTAGATGTGTTCGCACTGCTTCTTCTCAATTGTTAACAAGTCTGGAACAAGCTGTTGTCATCTTGTAACAAGGTTGAAGAGGCCAACAGACTTGCAACAAGTTGTTCCAACAAGTCTGTTACCGTCTGCACGTAACAAGTTGTCAACAAGTTGATGACAACAAGTTCGTAGCAACTTGTTACGACCAGCCTGTATTAGCTTTGTTGGAACAACTTGTAGCAAGTCTGTTATCGTCATCAACATTTTAACAAGCAGTGAGAACACAACCTGATATTGGCTTGACAACAAACTTGTTACGACTTGTTTGCAAATCTGTAACAACTTGCCCTTTTTACGCGTGCGGTCGAGAAGTCTCGGTACGCGAGATTATATAAACAGGCCCTGGGCAGTGAGCTCTATATATCTGGAGCAAGAACTCTGTCATTCGACCTGTGATATCAAATTTCGGCACACTTGGAACTGACGTCAATAATTCTTCAATTTCCGCCATCTTTGCCTCACTTTTTGGACTCGAGTCACAGACGAGTTCTCGCTCCAGAGAGATATAGAGCTCACTGGCCCCAGTTAATTACCTGCTTTTGCTGTGAAAGAAAAGCGGACGTTGAGTGACGTGGATCTTGCATCCCATTTACTCTCAGGTTTGCGGCACGAATCCAGCACACCATAGTACCATAACGTCATCATGCATGATGCAGTCACCTCGTCACGTGATGTCAGCATGTGGTATGGATCTACGCTTGTTGCTATGGTAACCGTCAAGCGAGTACTTAGTAACATGTTAGAGAACTACAAAAAAACATGATTATCGATTTAAGAAAGATACCTAGAGGTCCACTAAGAGTCAACCATTAAACTTACACTATGAAGTTTAAACAATTCTCTCTTACTTGTTCAGTTTTAATACAGGAGGAAACCGGAGAAGACATGATTAGAAATTGCACAGGAAAAATGGTCATGTCGCTAAGACGTAGTCCGTATCCCACTGTGCTAATATATTCTTTCGAATGAAACACTGGCCTGAAAAGCAGGCGCTCGCGGGCTTGGTTTTGCTTTACATGCTAATGAAACACCTACTACTTGGGTGTACTAATGGAAAAAATTACACTAAATTGCAAACACTGCTTTTAGGTAACGTAAAACGTAATTGAAAAGATAGTTTGGACCCTTACACTTCCTCAATTAACAAAAAAGCTGGTCTTCGTTAGTCCCTGACTAACTGTGTCGCCAACAACCATATGCATATATTTTGTGAAAGTATTGAGACCACTTAATAAATCAGTGGCGCGCTGGCCCTGTTCATCAGGGGAGGCCACTTCAAGATGTGGCGGCCATCGTTGTTAATTTCCCAAAATAGGTGTCGATGGGGAGTGAGCGAAATTTTCGAAACATCTTTCAAGACAGTTTAAATTAATACGTGTCGCTCTCCCACTTACTCATTTGGCTGAATTTCTGTAGAATTGACAATTTGGTTTCATTTCATGCAGTTTTAGTGTCCCTTAAGAGCTTTTGCGCCTCCTAAAAGTCCCTCGCAGGGAGGGCTATGGCCCCTCTGCCCCCCCTGTCAGCATGCCACTGACCTAAATAAAGATAAAAATACCTTTAGCACTTGATCGTTGCGATCATTGGTCACATTTTGTGGTGGCAAAGAGCTACTGTAACTTCCAAAGATGACGTAAGCAGGACAAGCGAACGATAATTCCACATCAACAGCATCAGCAAATGATTTCTTGGTGTGAGAAATTTCAGCTGATAATGTAACAGTATCACTGAAGAAAAAGACGATTAGATAATCTCAATTAATAATTCATGAGTAAATTAGCCAACCATATTGCTTTATTTTGCCCACATGATAATACTGGATACCAGTGAAGTATATTGAGTCTATTGATAGTCCAGTCCTAGGACTGGATCAAAATGAATTCAGTCCTTGCACTGGTCAAAATGAATTCACCTCACTTTAAGTAGTTATTTATTCGTATCAAATGTCATTTCAAATCCTGAGCCTGCGGAATCTTGTAAAATGAATAAATGTTGTTTTGAACCTGCTTCGTCGAAGAAGGCAGTTTTATTCGTGCAACGTTGGTGTGGACAACAAACCTTATCGTTAAAAAATGCTTCCTTCCACGTCCTAAGAGTCGCCAGTTTAATTTATAAGTTTCACACCGCTTTCTTATATCTGTTTATATTCAAGATTATGTAGAAATTTACTTGCTGACGTGACGCCGGCGCCATTTTTTTTACAAGATTCCGCAGGCCCTCGCCAGAACGTGACCTTCCCATGTTTCAAATCCCCCAGTTCGGACTGGACTAGAGATTTCAATGACATTAAAACATAATCGTCACTACACGTTTTTAGCCCGTCGCAACTGTCGTCGTGATAGAACTCGAGTCAATCTCGACGACACTGTTGTAACTCATGAACTGTTGCCAGCGTATCGCGACAAGACTTTTCTTCATGTTTCCATTTGGTCGCGAACACTACTCTGACGACAGTTACAACACGTTCGCGACAGTTACGACCATATGGAAACCAGGCTTAAGCGCTTGTAGTGAGAAGGCAGCAGCCAGTTGTATATACAGGGTGTTTAAAAAAAACTTGAATGATGTGGTTTCTTGCACTTCACTTGGTGGAATTATTATTAGAATGTTAGGGTTTGTAATCCAAGAGATTATATACATTTTAAGACCTGACCAGGAACGACTGCGAAAAATGCAGCACAAGGTCCTCTGGTAGGAATTGAACCTACGGCCCTACGATCGCAGGGCCGTAGTTCAATTCCTACCAGAGGACCTTGTGCTGCATTTTTCGCAGTCGTTCCTGGTCAGGTCTTAAAATGTATATAATCACTTGGATTACAAACCCTAACATTCTAATGTTTAAAAAAAAGTGTATCGGAAAACGTTTCGCTGTAGGGGATGCGCTTGCTCCCCGGCCGTCGTCGACATGGAAAGAAAACTTTTTTGTATTTGTTGCGGAACACTCTCGTTTAATTTAAATTCTAGCTTAATTCTAAACTTAGTGGGAGGACTTGATGGAAAGTTGCCGGCAAATCAAAGTAAAAGTCAATACAATTTCGGCCCTTCGTTAAGCCCGCCGCACACGAGAGCAACTTGCTGAGCTAACCGCCTCGCGTGGCAGCTAGCTCAGCTATGTATTTTCACCGCACACGTTGAGAAAACTACTCAACAACAACATAAATAACAAAATCATTTGCATTTTCCTCCATTTTGTTCCAAGTCACATGAAGAAACCATGGTTTGTCATTGGCTAATTGATTCAAACAGCTCAGCACTTAGCTCACAACATCTGCAGACGCTGAGATTTTTTCCTCGCGAGGCGAAAAATATCAAACACGATAGATATTTTCCTCAAGGCCTCGAGAGGTTAAATCCTCACGAAAACTATCCGCACACGAGAGCAACTTGCTGAGCTAATCGCCTCGCGAGGCGAGCAATAAAGTGGACAGCGCCTAAGTTAGCGAACTGGTAGGAGAGTTTAATCTCGCCGGTGATATCACCTGATTCGCGCCGAGAATGAAATTTTTCCTCGCAAACAACAAAGTCAAAACTGGAAAGCGCAGTAGATTAAATTTCAAATCCATGCAAAAACGGCAAACCTAAGATTCAACGAAGATTATCATACTATTTTGACCAAAAAATCTACCAATACAAGGTATTTATTAAGTATATGATATTACATAAATGAATTATTATTGTTACAAAGCAGTAAATAACAACTGTAAATTTTACAGGAAAGTAGGTACATGCAGCTAACTGTAATAACCAAAAAGCTCACTAATTCAAGTAATAATTGTTGCAAGTTTGTGTTGATTGTCACTTTTTGGCCGCAGATTTTCTGCAATAAGTATAATATATAGCTTTACCATCTTCACGTTCTGTTGAGTACAGTACTGGAATTGATACAAATTTTATAATTTCCATGCCTGCTTCATTCATTGCTTCTTTCACCATTTTCTCGGTTAGGGGAAAGGTAGAAAACTTTACCTCGCCGACAGGATAAAACGTCTGCTCTATGAAGCCGACCATAAATAGATAGCCGTTTGGTTTGAGTAATTTGCAAAGTTCTGCAACGGTGTTCTTGTAGTGCACCTCAGACGACACGCACGCAGAAAGGCAAAAGCTGGTGGACACAACGTCGAACGGTTTGGCAACGTCATCACTATCAAGTTGGACTATTGGTGTTTTGGTCACATCACATGGGACAATAGATTTTATTTTTCGTTTCAATTCATTAGCACGATTTACACAATCGAGCTTCTCTTCGTCTGTTCGCCCAACAGGGCTTTCTACAATGACACGTCCTTGTTCGAGTTCAAGAACAACGATTTCAATTAAAGGCATCCAGTCGTATGCGTCTGGGTCGCTAGCAATCCACGACTTCACGGCTTCTCTATTCGCTTCTACATACTCGGCAAAGACAATATGATCCACTTTTGGGCAAGCAAAAACAAGGTTGGTAATAGAAGGTCCACCACCAAACTCGAGATATCGAACTTTCGTGCCTTTCCGTGCCTTAAAGTTACACCAAAACTCGTGAAATGATTTAATAATCGGCACCGCAGATCCATATTCATTTTCGTCTCCCTTCAATTTTTCATAAAACTGTTCGAGGTAGATTTTTGGGTCAAAAGAGTTATGGTATAAATCTTCGTTGAATCTTAAGTTAGCCATTTTTGCACGGATTTGAAATTGTTCAACTGTGTTCCCCAGTTTTGTCGTTTGTGAGGAAAAATTTAATTCGGCACTAGGTCGGGCACCTCCTTTTATAATGACACTCCAGCGGTCTTCGTACATGTGGACAGAGAAGTGGTGTGATTCCAATCCAACCAATCAGCATTAAGGTTATATCACGTGATCTACTGTTAAACTCTCGTACCGGTTCTCTAACTTGTTTATTCAATAATACACTGAACACACAAACAGGCCAACAGGAGATGTTCTGCAAAAATCGCATTGTACAGTGTGATGCCATACTGATCATATTTGCATATTAAACAAAGTTGAATATCTCGGAAAGGAAGAAAGCTATAAAAATTCTACCACAGAAGTTATATGGTCATTTTAATTAAGTGATCTTTGCAATGAAATCAAGAAAAGATTACATGTCTTTTACTATCCTATTAACAAGTTTTTATTCAATAAAATACTTTGAACATTTTGGCTAGCTTGGTACCGTGCAAGCTTTGCATGTTGCAAAGGAAATTTTGAGGAATCTTTATTTTGTATTGAACAAATTTCCTGTGTCAGCCTACATAAAAACCAGGCAATTCTACGTTTAAAAACCGGGCAAATTCTACTTAAAATCCGGGCAAACTCTACTTAAAAACCGGGCAAATTCTACATAAAAACCGGGCAAATTCTACTTAAAATCCGGCCAAACGATGGAAAGGAAACAGGACGCGTATTAAAATAGTCGAAAAAGCAAGAAATATGTAACGTGTGAGAAATGTTATAACTGATATGTCGGAAACATTTTCGCCGTAGGGAAGGCGCCTGCCCCTCCTGCCAATTCACGAAAATTTTTTGCTCTTTGGCGAGCTCGGCCTCCCCCCCGTCGGCGACATAAATTTTGAAGGAAAACATTTTTGTATTTGCGGGAAATTTTTGTATTTGCTATGGAACACTCTCGCTTAATTTAAATTTTATCTTAATTCTAAACTTAGTGGGAGCAGTTGATAGAGTTTTGCCACAAATCAAAGTAAAAGTCAATACCATTTCGGTCCTTCGTAAGACATTCGTCACTGCTGCCATATTAGGTTATGACAGTTGGAGACTGTCTGGTGTATGCGTGCACCTGAAAGTGTCAGAGTCAAACGGATCTGGTTCCGACAGTTTATCTTGTGAGCAGATATAAACGTTGACCTTTCAAATGGACAATCTCAAGGGTTGTGAAATTGAGTCATGCTAAATTAAAATTACCCGATTGATTATAATATTACATAATTAAAAGCTAACTTCGTTAAATTCTCTTGAAAGATAGGTTAATTCATAAAACAATGTTTATTCATAAAACAAAAGTTTGAAACTTTTCTTCTAAGATGTTGTTAATTTCGTGAAGTTATGAACAATTTCAATATCTTTGTATAATCGAGTAATAAAACCGATTTTACGAAGTGGACAACGCCTTAAATAAACAAGTTGGAGAACTGGTACGAGAGTTATAACAGTAGATCACGTGATATCACCTTAATGTCGATTGGTTGGATTGGAATCATACCACTTTTCTGTCCATGTACGAAAATCTCAGGAGTGTCATTATAAAAGGAGGTGCCCAACCTAGTGCCGAATCAAATTTTTCCTCACAAACGACAAAACTGGAAAGCGCAGTAGATCAAATTTCAAATCCATGCAAAAATGGCTAACTTAAGATTCAACGAAGATTACCAGACATATTTTGACCCAAAAATCTACCTCGAACAGTTTTATGAAAAATTGAAGGGAGACGAAAATGAATATGGATCTGCGGTGCCGATTATTAAATCATTTCACGAGTTTTGGTCGAACTTTAAGGCACCAAAAGGCACGGAAGTTCGATATCTCGAGTTTGGTGGTGGACCTTCTATAACCAACCTTGTTTTTGCTTGCCCAAAAGTGGATCATATTGTCTTTGCCGAGTATGTAGAAGCGAATAGAGAAGCCGTGAAGTCTTGGATTGCTGGCGACGCAGACGCTTACAACTGGATGCCTTTAATTGAAATCGTTGTTCTTGAACTCGAACAAGGACGTGGCATTGTAGAAAGTTCTGTTGTACGAACAGACGAAGAGAAACTCGACTGTGTAAATCGTGCTAATGAACTGAAACGAAAAATAAAATCTGTTGTCCCATGTGATGTGAACAAAGCTCCAATAGTTCAACTTGATACTGATGATGTTGCCAAACCGTTTGATGTTGTGTCCAGCAGTTTCTGCCTAGAGACATGTGTGTCGTCTGAGGTGCACTACAAGAACACCGTCGCAAAACTTTGCAAATTACTCAAACCAAACGGCTATCTATTTAGCATCGGCTTCCTAGAGCAGACGTTTTATCCTGTTGGCGAAGAAAAGTTTTCTGTCTTTCCACTGACTGAGAAAATGGTGAAAGAAGCAATGAATGAAGCAGGAATGGAAATTGTAAAATTTGTATCAATTCCAGTACTGTACTCAACAGAACGTGAAGATGGTAAATTTATATTTTATACTTATTGCAAGAAATCTGCGGCCAGAAAGTGACAATCAACACAACCTTGCAACAATTATTACTTGAATTTAGTATTTGAGCCTGCAATTGGTTATTACTGTTAGCATGTACCTACTTAATTTCCTGCAAAATTTATCAGCTGTTGTTTTACCCCACTTCATAATAATAATTCATTGACGTAATATGGTACTTAATAAATATCTTGTCTTGTCTTGTCTTGTCTTAATTATTGTCCGGTTATACTTGTGTGTGTATAAAAAAGTGCACAGTTCTAAAATCAGAGGTGTGGAAGAGGGAGGGGGCTCAGAGCTCAGGGGGCTCAAACTGATTTCATGTCGCGGTTTGGAAGGCTGACATCCCAATATTTTTGCAGATTGCATATTAATAACCTGGCAAGTTCTTTGCAACTGTAGTGTTGAAATGGTGCGGTAATGATATCAGTAATCTGTACCGACACTGAATACAAACAATTTCCTTAAACTGATAAAAAAAATGCACAATTCTAAAATGTTCACCGGCCTGAAAATTCCGGAAATCTAGTTTTTTTGACAACTTTATGTTAGTATATGAGTAATTTGGGCCGGTCGTCTGGCGTTTCTCTCACAAAATTATTCTGAAAAGTATTTTTTTGAGTGCAGCAGGGCTGTTTTTTTAAAACTATTTAAAAATGGCTTGCGCACAAAAATGGTAGGTTTGAAACACAATTTGAATTCATAAGGTGCAAATTTAGAAAGTGTTTTATGAACTATCAAAGTACCAGACTTGAATTTAGAATTTGAGCCTGCCGTCATGATTACATTTCGATTGTGAGCAGGGCATTTTTTAACCGTATATAACTACTGGAGCATTTGCCCCAGTAGGCCCATGATTTTCAGATGAACTGGGCCCTTTTGATCATTAGTAAAAGGTTAACCTTGTTGAGAAAGCTGCATCTGCCTGCTTTCTCATATCCTCTCACATTCTCGACATTCCCTCTTATAAAAGTCAGCACAGGCAGGGGCGGAACTAAAAGTGAGTTGTGGGTGTGGAACACCCATAATCGTCAGGTAATCGGCAAATTATCCAATCCCAGTTGGATGAAAAGAAATGCCAATTAGCGTTTGAAATTAGTAGGCAATATTTCACTTACACCCACCCCCCCCCCTATTCAAATAGCGCTGGCACTGTCCCTGAGCACAGAGTGATTTTTATGTACCCGTATATAAACGGGAGGTCCTTATTGAGACTAAGCCCCAGTAGTTGTAATTTCTTAAAAAATGCCCTGATGGTGAGCGACGCAGCTCACTATTCTTGACAGAATTTGAATTTTGTAGTGGGAGGAGTTGATGGAGTTTTGCCGGCAAATCAAAGTAAAAGTCAATACATTTTCGGTCCTTCGTAAGACATTCCCCACTGCTGCCATTTATAGATTATGACAGTTGGAGACGTACCCTGGCCCAGAGGTTTTTACGCGAAATGCGAGAAAACGCACGAAGAAAAAGGAAAAACCTCTGGTGAATTTGTTGGCGATTCCTGGTTCGGATAAAGAATGCAAAAAATGTATAATTGCTTAATGCATCATATTCTAAAAATATTATCCAATCATTATCCTTGACGCCAGGCCGTCTAGACAGGGTTTTATCGCATGTTTACTGTCTAGTGTATGCCTGCCCATTTGTAGCAATATTCATTCTCCTAAATTTCATTCAATTTAAAACATCACATCTATTCAATTTAATATAAATATATATTTATATTCATTCACTTTAATCTTGCAATATACATTAAAAAAATCTGTATTTTATAAATTTATTAAACACACCTCTTTGGGCCGACGTGAACTTTGTCTGTTAATACAAAAGCAAGCAAATTTGTCTTGTAGATTTCAAATGAAACGATTGAAATCATTCCTCTCCATTTCGCATTTCGAATAATAGACTCGGGATTACAAAATGCGAATGCAAACTCTCCATCTAGTATTGCTTTCTCGTCCTCTTCGTTTGACAGTGAAGTAACACGGCATCCACGCTTTCTTAGTTCACGGACGTGAGAGTCAATGAAAGAGTTCAATTTGCAAATGACTATTAAGATGGGTTTCTCCAGAAAATTGTGGCTTTTGCCAAGTCGTCGTGCTACTCTCGGTGTTAGAAGTTTGGAATATTAAACTCTTCCCATAACCGATAGCAAGATGCAAATACATCTTTAATGTGAATCAAATTGGACAAGGCGCGGTATTGATGCTCCGTTAAACTTTTAATTCAGGAAATTTATCAATCTATCTATTAATGCAGCCTATAAAACAGCTTCTTTCAACTTTTGTTCGTTTATTTAATAATATAGACATTTCAAAATTCAAATGTTTCAATTCAATCAAAACCAGTGCTCTCACAGTCAAATTTTCGAATTCCTTAGAAAAAGCTCGAAAATTCCTCAGATTTCCTTAAAATTCCTTAAATTGGTAAAATTACTACAAGGCCTGATCACAGAGTTGCAAAAAGTGTTTTTTTCACCTGATTTACCTGAACTGAACGTTCTTTGAAACCGTATTTTTTGAAAATTTGAAGTTTCTAGACCGTCGGAAATGGCATTTTTAGAGTCATTCCTACCCAATATTTTAGTATTGCCTAACAATGAAGATAAGTATTGCTACTTTCAGTTTATAATGGGAAATTGAGAAAATTTTGGAAATTTGGAGTCTCTAGATCGTCAGAAAGGGTATTTCGCAATTGTCTCCCTACCACAACACGTCTCAACGTCTTTAGTTTGTTTGATTGTTAACTCCAATTCAGATTAGAGAGTTCACTTTTTTATGCCCTGAGAATTACCTGAATTTACCTAAAAATCTACAGGATATCTACCTGAAATTGTTCATGAGCAATATTAGGGGTGTTGCACCCTCCCTCCTCCCTCCCCTGGTCGCTAGGGCCCTGAGAACTTAGAAAATCTGTAGATTTCAGAAGAAACAGCATACACTGACATTTAACTTTTGAGAATTTTAATGGAAAGACAGCCATATGTACATTTACGACATAGAGAACATACGAATATATGTAATTATGTGCATATAATGTTGCTACTTTCAAGTTTAAATCTCATTTGCGTGGCGTGGTTATTCTCTGTCAAAACGTTTTTAGTCCAGGATAAAATGTTTTGGAAATTCCTTAAAAAAATCCTCAAAAACCTAAATTCCTTAAAAAAATCCTTAAAACTCTTCAAAATTCATATTTTTAAGGATAATTCCTTAAAAGTGAGAGCACTGGTTGCTACTTTCAAGTTTAAATCTCATTTGCGTGGCGTGGTTATTCTCCGTCAAAACGTTTTTAGTCCAGGATAAAATGTTTTGGAAATTCCTTAAAAAAATCCTCAAAAACCTAAATTCCTTAAAAAAATCCTTAAAACTCTTCAAAATTCCTATTTTTAAGGATAATTCCTTAAAAGTGAGAGCACTGATCAAAACACGAAACGCCTGCGAACAGGCTATGATGTTTACAATATCCAATCAGAACACGTAGTCTATCGAACCTATAGTCAGCAACCAATCAACTTCTAGGTTCCAATTTTGAAAGTTATGTGTGGAATGTGACCCCAAAAACCCAGCCAATTTCACCAGAGGGTTATTCAAAACAGGCGAAAATAAATACCCTCTGGTTCCAGGGTATTGGAGACGGAGTGGTGTGCGTGCACCTGAAAGTGTCAGAGTCAAATGGATCTGGTTCCGAGCGTATCTTGTGAGCACCTTTCAAGTGGAGAATCTCAAGGGTTGTGAAATTGATTCATACTGAATTAAAATTAGCCGAGTAATTATAATACTAGGCGTAACCACAGGTTAAAAAGTGCGACCTGGAGACTTTAGTCACTAATGACAACGCGCCGGCTCACGCTGTTTTGGCCACATAGTTGGTGATCATCCTTTACTTTTGCCAAAAGTCGGTCGGTCGGTCGGGTTTGTTTTATTTTTTATATAACGATTTGCGTCAAATAAACATGCACATGACAAGGTACTTTATTTCATATTGTCTATTGATATATTCAAAATAAAAAACAGTAACAACTTTTCAAGTTTATGCAAAGGAGTTGCGATAACTGATATGGGCCAATATTGCTCATTATATAATAAAAGTCGGCCCATTTACACTGAATATCCAATTTAGATAAATTTATCAAAATATTAACTTGACTAATAGACCTTTCCCCTTTTAAGTGAAATTTTGATCTAGACAAGTCTGGACAAAAATTTAATCACAGCTTGAAAGAGCATCAATAATATTCCGAAGTTTCGTTGCAAAATGTTGTAAAATGCGGATAATATAGCCTTGCGAAGTTTGCCGTTTTTCAGTCATTTGGTATTACAAACGGGAAATTGATAATCAGTTTGATCATCTGATTATCAATTTCCCCCGCGTAATACAAAAGGACTGAAAAACGGCCAACTTCGCAAGGCTATATTATCCGCATTTTACAACATTTCGAAACGAAACTTCGGAATATTACTAATTTTGTGATGCTCTTTCAAGCTGTAATGAAATTTTTGTCCTAGATCAAAATTTCACTTAAAAGGGGAAAGGTCTATTGGTATCCAATTACGTCACTTGCTACAAATTACATAACAAATAGTCACATTTGTGATTATATTGTCGCTACGGCGCGAAGTCGCCTTCTATGAATAGCATGACGTGTCAATAACAATACCGATTGACAAAGCGCAATTTAAAGATAAATAATAAAGCCCGGCACATGACTTTCAAACAACAGACGTTTCTTTGTATACATCACAACATCCTCATGCACAGCATTTAATCTTTTTGATTATTTAAATCTGCCTTCAATAACAGACTTACAACAGTTAGTAGATGCTAAGTTAAGCTTCATTTGATGTACAATTTGATGAACAAAAGTTAAAGGTACATGTATAAAATTGCATCAGTATCGATGAGTAAATAAAACACTGGGCGGCATAACAGCGGCGGAAATACCGTTTCATGGGTCTTCCAAATACGGAAATATGTTCCAAATATGGAATGCAAGCCGAGGTGAATCGGTGAATCTTGAGCCGGGGCTAATCCGAACTCAGCGGTATATTTAAATTTTCTACGCACATGCACAGATTAGGATGCTCCCAGCTCGCTCGCTGGTCGCAATTACATAACTAAAAGTTCACTTCGTTAAATTCGCTTTAAAGTTAGGTTAATTAATAAAACAATGTGAATGTGCTTTTAATCGAGCAATAAAGTGGACAGCGCCTAGGTTAGCGAACTGATAGGAGAGTTTAATCTCGCGTGATATCACCTTAATGTTGATTCGCACGACTTTGCCCTTCACATGTACGGAGACCCCTGGAGTGCCCAACCAAGCGAGAATGAAATCTTTCCTCACAAACACCAAAACTGGAAAGCGCAGTAGATTAAATTTCAAATCCATGCAAAAACGGCAAACCTGAGATTCAACGAAGATTATCATACTATTTTGACCAAAAAATCTAAACAGTTTTTCATTATATGACCTTAAAAACTCATTAATAATTCAGGAGCAAAATACAAAGAAAAATCATAAGCGTGTCGTGGTTTTATGTGATAAAAAATTACGTTAATTTACATAATTGATTGCTTTGATTTTCTCGGTTTAGACAAAGTTTATTTTAAAAATTACTTCGCCAATGAACTCGTATAAGATGAGTCGTTTTTTAAGCTATTTAAAGCACTTGTATAGTCGTGTTTTATCACATATAAAACACTCCGCTGCACGTCGTGTTTTATATGTGATAAAACACTCCTGCTCGTTTATTAAACAGTACTTAAATAATACAAGGTACTTATTAAGTATATCATATTACATAAATGAATTATTATTGTCACAAAGCAGTAAACAACAGCTGTACATTTTACAAGAAAGTAGTTACTAGTTACATGCTGCAATAACCAAAAAGCTCACTAATTCAAGTAATAATTGTTGCAAGTTTGTGTTGATTGTCATTTCAGGCCGCAGGCTTTCTGCAATAAGTATAATATATAGCTGTACCATCTTCACGTTCTATTGGGTACAATACCGGTATTGATACAAATTTCACAATTTCCATTCCTGCTTCATTCATTGCTTCTTTCACCATTTTCTCAGTTACAGGAAAGGCAGAAAACGTTTCTTCGCCGACAGAATAAAACGTCTGCTCTAGGACTACGAACATAAATAGATAACCGTTTGGTTTGAGTAACTTGCAAAGTTCTGCGACGATGTTCTTGTAGTGCACCTCAGACGACACACATGACTCTAGGCAGAAACTGGTGGACACAACATGAAACGGTTTGGCAACATCATCAGTATCAAGTTGGACTATTGGAGCTTTGTTCACATCACATGGGACAATAGATTTGATTTTTCGTTTCACTTCATCAGCGCGATTTACACAGTCGAGTTTCTCTTTGTCTGTTCGTACAGCAGGACTTTCTACAATGCCACGTCCTTGTTCGAGTTCAAGAACAGCGATTTCAATTAAAGGCATCCAGTCGTGGGCGTCTGGATCGCCAGCAATCCACGACTTCACGGCTTGTCTATTTGCTTCTGTATACTCGGCAAACACAATATGATCCACTTTTGGGCAAGCAAAAACACAGTTGGTTATAGAAGGTCCACCACCAAACTCGAGATATCGAACGTCTGTGCCTTTTGGTGCCTTAAAGCTCGACCAAAACTCGTGAAATGCTTTAATAGTCGGCACCGCAGATCCATATTCATTTTCGTCTCCCTTAAATTTTTCATAAAACGCTTCGAGGTAGATCTTTGGGTCAAAACAGGTTTGGTAATCTTCGTTCGATCTTAAGTTTGCCATGTTGCATGGATTTGATGGTCATTTGATCTCTGCCACGTCCCCAGGCCACAGAATAACAATTTAACCGGAAGATCCACTCTCCACATCACACTTGTTTACTGTTTTACTTAGCTATCTAAAACGAGCGCGGTCAGCCATATAAAATTATACAACGCACTCTCGCAACCTCGGAATTTCCTAAGAAATCACTTCGCAATTCTTAAGCATAAAAGATTTTAGGCCCTGGGAATGGACCATTTGCATTGTAGAGTAAATTTTGATCTAGACAAAAATTTGTAATACAAAATGACTGAAAATTGCAAATTTCGCAGGGTTATATTATCCGCATTTTACAACATTTCGCAACGAAACTTTGGAATATTACTAATTTTGTGATGCTCTTTCAAGCTGTGATGAAATTTTTGTCTAGATCAAAATTTAGTATATAATGCAAATGGCCATTGAAATCGGATTGTTAATAGATCATATTACTGTTGTTGTGCATGTGAATAAATGCATAAATTTTGCTTTATGCACTCGCGTGTGCAGTAATTTTGACAGTTGTGCTATTTTAAATTCCCAGGCGCCTAAAGCCCGTTTTCCACTAGGCGAATTTATTCGCGCGAACAGATAAAAAGTAGGAAGCGATCCTACTTTTTCGCCGCGAATTTTTTCGCCGACCAATCACGTTGCCGGATTTCGGTTTTCGCTTCGCGTCGCGCGAAAAAATTCGCCTAGTGGAAAACGGCCTTAAAATCTTTTGTCCTTAAAACAATGTGGATTTCTTGGGAAATTCCGAGGTTGCGCTTTTTTTGATACACCCTGTAGATTGCTAAACAAGTTTAATCAGCTTTTGATATGTTTTGAGAGTGGGACCTCTGGACCTCTTTTTCTTTTGTTATGCATTGTTTTAATTAGGCACAGAGGTGAAAATATGCGATTTTGACTAACATTTTTAATCGGCCTCGTACATGCTTATTTTTTCCCCACTTGGCATGAAAAGCATGTCATTCAATAGCTAAAAGCCTGATCTTTCCGAATATGAAAACCAGTTGTTCATACGCCGAGTAATTCACGTATAATAGCGCGCTGAAGTTCGATTACCTTTTTTTTGATACACCCTGTATATGGACAACGTGGAGGGAAGGAAACACGGTGTATAAGAGCATGTGATTCTTAGTGAATTTTGTGGGGGGAAATACGTTTGTTATGAAAAGGTTGCGGGCCAAGGCGGACTGACAGTTTTTTGATCGTCTTTTATTTCTGGGCGACTTTACACTCTACCTGCGACTGTCATCATAAGGTGATAGACAGGCATTAAAATAGCGTGTCCTTGTACACACTTTGTGTCCTTGTAAAAGGCGAATGTGCCCTTGTAAATTGAAAAGTGTGTACTTGAAAATATATTAAACTGAAAATATATTAATGTAATCCACGCAAAATGGCCAAAGATTTTGCAAATTCTGTTCTCAGAGCTCTGGAAATGCCATTTCAGAGACCCTTAAAAGCTCGCGTCTTCGACGCTAAACTTGTCGCTTCACCACTCGTTCTCGTGAGTCTGCATGCGCATTTATACTAAAAATACGCCTCTGAAGGCAAAGTGTGTCCTTGTAAAAATTCCGTATTTTAATGCCTGGTGATAGAAGACCCATAGAAATCAGCTACGATGACAGTCGCAGGCATAGAGTGTAAAGTAGCTCAGACTGAATAAAAGACGATCACATACAATCAAATTAGGCAAGTAAATATAATTTTAAAATATAAAATTCATTACAAATAAATACCATATAAACACGATCTATATATATATAAGAATTACCTAACCAATTCAATTATTTTCAATCAATATCAATGAATAATTTTGTGAATACTGCATCGGTAGAGACAAGTAGATTTTTAGTGCTCTTTTATATAATGAAATTATGAAACGGTTTGATTATAAAAAAACATATAGTTTATGCATGTGTCAGTTAAAAACAGTTTTGACAATACCAATAATTACAATAACCACCACGATTACATTTTAACAACGAGTTTAAGGATTAACACTGAAAATGCAAAATACTGTTTGCATGCATGGTGTGCTGTGAAACGTCATACGTCCTATTGATCTACTGTAAGGGAGTGGTCATTGTTTATGGGGAGGGGGGGGGGAGACGGGGAAAATAAGGATTGAAAACTTTTTTGACCCCCCCCCCTCCAGAATGAAGGCAAACTTTTTGTGCCTCCCCCCTCATAAAAGTAGAAACTTTTCTGACCCCCACCCCCGTGTGGATTGAAAAATTAACAGCAATGAAACAGGTGTGCGTTGCAGGTAAAGTTAGATATTAGGACAATCTGTTTAATCTAGCTCATGATGTTTTACCCTGGTGAATATGATTCAACTATATATGATTAAAAAATATATATTATGTGTTACTGCTTTGCAATGCAACATTTGTCCTACCATAACCCTAACCCATGACCCGTCTTCATACAGCGAAATGATTTGAACACAGGGTTTTTTTAAGAACTTGTCTGGGGGTGGGCATCTACAAAAAGGGACCATACTATATTGAGTGTGGAGAGATGACAGATGGTTGTTGGTGACAAAAAGTTTGGTGTGGTATCGTATGTACTAGTAGGGGGGTCTGGGGGTATTCTCCCCCAGAAAATTTTTTGTATTTTTCCACCCCTAGAACTGAAATGTGAGCATTTTCTGAAACAGATTTTTGGATATATAGCGTTACATTGTGCGTTGATAGACCGAATCTGATCAGTTAAGTGTACTTGCATGGTATGTTTATGTAAATACCACAACTGGGTCACTCAGGGGGTAGAAAGCTTGTTAAACTTAGTGGGCCCAACTTCCACGATCGCGAGGCGCTACCATGGTTGGGGCCGAGCAGGAAAGTTTTGAAAATTTTGAGTCTCTAGATCGTTGGAAATAGCATTTTCAGAGTCTTCTTTTTTGCTATTTGTGATTATAGAAATCAGAACTCTAGACATGGTATTTAAGTTCAAAAGCTTTTATGACCCCCCCCCCCTTTTCTCTGTGTTAAAACTTTTTTGACCCCCCCTATTTATAAGGGTAAAACTTCGTTTGCCCCCCCCCCCTCCCATTTCCCAATTTATGGAAATAATGACCACCCCTAAGCCCTTTCGTTAATAATAATAATAATAATAATAATAATATTTATTCAGGAAGCTCCACTCACCGAAGTGTTTTTCAGGGAGGTCCTGCAATATATATCTATATTATACATGGTAAACTATACTGTGCTTATTTAAAAACTATAAAATGTTTACAAATGGATTATATATAATTATACTTCATAGTTAGAAAAATATAATTATACTTCATAGTTAGAAAAAAAACAAAAAAACCAAAAACAAACTCAACTTAATTAGATAAATTGTTCAACTTAATTAGATAAATTGTTTTAGTTTGGATTTAAAGAGATTAAGATTAGTAGATTGTTTCAGTTCAATAGGTAATGAGTTCCATTCCGATATTGAGTGATAAGTGAATTGCTGTTTTCCCCAATTTGTACGTGGGCGTGGAAGGTAGTAGTTGTTGTTCTGGCGTGTTTTATGGCTATGTATACGGGAGATTATGGTAAGGTTAAAATCAAAGTCGACTAGATGGCTAAGACATTTAAAGACGGAGATACAACGGTGGTATTTTCGACGTAGATAAAGGGGTTTCCACTCTAGAGTTTCAAGGGCTTCGGTAGCGGAGGAATGGCGAGGAAGATCAAGGATAAGTCTCGCAGCGTTATGTTGCAGAACTTGAAGGTGGTTCATTAGAGTGGAGTTGTTTTTATCTCCCCACACGATATCACTGTAGTCCAATAGAGGGAGAACAAGACTGTTGTAGAGGGTGAGTCTGGCTTGAATAGGGAGTAAGAATTTTATGCGGCGAATGAGACCAAGGCGTTGATTAAACTTCTTGCTGATGTTGTCGATATGTTCTGACCAGGTTAGGTTTTGTTGAATTGTAACTCCTAAGTATTTGAAGGAGTCAATTCTATCAAGTATGGAATCATTAACCGTGATGGAAACATTGTTAAATTTTGCAACTTTGCGAGAACTTCCGTAAATTATAAATTTACACTTGGAGACATTAAGTGTCAGAAGTTTGTCGTTAAACCATCTGCATAGGTGTTTTAGATCGGAATTTAACTTCATTTCAAGATCGCAAGCATTGTTTGAAGAAAGGTATATCACAGTGTCATCAGCGTATAAGGATATTTCACAATGGTTGATACAATAAGGCAAATCATTAACAAAAATAAGGAATAGTAGTGGACCCAAAACACTACCTTGAGGAACTCCGACAGGAACGTGTTTGAAGGAGGAAACAGTGTTAGCCAGGGCGGTAAGTTGATTTCTATTGCTTAGGTATGACTTGAACCAGTTGACAGAATCATTGGAGAGACCAGATGAGGCAAGCTTTTCAAATAAAAGAGAATGGTCGACAGTATCAAAGGCTTTAGCCAGGTCAAGAAAAACAGCTCCTGTTACTAAACCCTTGTCCATATTAGCCAAAATGGTGTCTGTGAAATGTGCAAGCGCAATCTCAGTGGAAAGTTTGGGTCTGAGACCAAACTGTTGTGGTGTTAGTATTTTATTGTCAATAAGGTAGCGGTAAACTTGAGAGTGGACTGCTTTCTCGAGAACTTTACTAATTGTTGGGAGTATCGTGATTGGTCTGTAACTGCTAGCATTGGATTTGTCACCAGATTTGAAAAGCGCTGTTGCTTTGCCAGACTTCCAGGTTGATGGAAATGTTGAGGAAGTGAGTGAACGATTGAAAAGTTTGGTTAGGATGGGAGTTACAACACTGGAAGAATCTTTAAGTAACCTAGCGCTGATTTTGTCTAGGCCTACAGCTTTGTTGGTTTTAAGATTGTTCAGAACACCATACACATAACTTTCTTCAATTGGCTGGAAAACAAATTCATTTTCCCTAAACTCACTAGGTTGCTTGATAGAATTCCGATTTGGATACAAATTTCTTATCTTAGATGCCAATTTGGATCCTATGCTTGAGAAATGGTCGTTTAATGTCTCAGCTATAGACTTTGGGTCGTTACATGTAATTGTAAATTTGTAAAGAAAAAATTTTGAATTGATACTGATTTCAAATGACTAAAGCCATGCAATATAAATTATCCTATGCAACTGTTAGGAAGGGCGAAATTTTTAACGGAGGAAAGGTGAAGTTCCTAAAGGAAAGGTGAAGTTTCTATATAAAAGGGGGGCGAAATACCAAATGTGCTTTACATCAAGTATTATACGCTTACCTAATTACATACACGGCTAAAAATGATCAGGTTGTTGCAATAGTTGATGAAAACAGCATTGAACAATGTTTTGCTGCCCACATTGTTCACAGTTGTCAACAATATTGAACATTAGTATAAATTGCCAGGTGACTATTGATTTTTCTGCATTCTGATTGGTCAAGATTCACTGTCTCTGAAGTGATAGTCACTGGTCAGTGACTATAGCTTTTTTTTTTCAAAATGGCTGCTCGTTTTGCCGTAGTAACAGAGGAGGAAATTGCCAAAATTAAAGAAGATAGCATTCCGAAAAAACCCAAACAAGCTACAAAATATGGTATAAAAATATTTCAAGGTAAAATATTAAACTTTACGTGCTTTTATTTGGAAAAAAAAACTGGCTTAGACGCAACGCGACACAGAGCCGTGTCTGAGATTTAAATTTTGTAAACAAACTATTTATAGTGAAAATAAATTTATTTGTAGTGAATTTTTATAAAGTTGTGTGGATTATTGTTTGTAAACACCTGGAAATTTATACTAAAACAATTAGTCGCCTCAGGCTCGGTGATTACAAGCCTATATTCACTTCGCCTTCGGCTCAGTGAATATAGGCTTGTAATCACCTCGCCTTCGGCGACTAATTGTTAATTAGTATAATTACATGGGTTATTAAGATTAACTGAAAATTCTCCACGCTGATTCGTTGCAGTTGAGAATACCAGATTTATTTCGAGTGTTGAACATGATATCTCACGAGTTTACCTAATAAGCGCGGCGAACGAGTGAGATATCATGTTCAACACGAGAGGGCAATAATTGGCCAATAAGAAGCTCCTGTGACCGGGATGACGTCAAACTCACCAAACTCTCTTTTGTGCAATTTGATCTTGCGAACCATTTCTGGCCTTTGCAGGGTCATACGATACAAACGTCGCATTGTTCTGACGGTTTTCAGTCGTATTTCCGGTTGGGATTAACTCACTTCGAGCTCACAGTCGGACAAGAAATGGAAATATATTGATAAAAGATACAGATTTGAAGATACAGGCTTGCAAATAACACTCTAAATAGTGTTTTTGATGGGGATTCGGACAAGACTATTACAAAGACGATATGTTCGAAGGGGCCGAAATTATATTCGGCGAAAGGTATGGCTAGTTTATATTTTTGTTCAATTGCGTAATTTGATACAATATGATCATGTTTGACTTCAAAGGCCCATAAATCGCTACAATGACGATGTTGATAATGACTGTAACTATACTGAGGAATTAGTTGAATCTTTTATTTCTGAATCGAATGGTGGTATCTCTGTCTTCATAGCATGCACTGAACCGAAGATATGAAAACACAAAGCCATCAACCGCGCGAGGATGAATGAATTGGGTGGGTCGTCAAAGAGTTAATTAGACCAACGCTTCCTCAAAATTTCATCGCAACATGGAAAGCTTGCAAGTACCAAACTGGACAAAATTTTGAAAGTATTTTATTCATTATTATATATATCAAATTACAGTATAAAGTCGAAAAGCAATAATTGTTGCTAGTTCGTGTTCACTGTCACTTTTCTGCACATTTTCTGCCATAAGTATAAAATAAATCTTTACAGTCAGTCACTTCCGAGTAATGTAATGGAACGCCTGGAATTGTTACATATTTCTCAATTTCTATTCCTGCTTCGATCATTGCTTCTTTCACCATTTTCTCAGTTAGGGGAAAGTTATGCAACTTTTCTTCGCCAACAAAATAAAACGTTCCCTCCAGCGCGCCGTTCATAAATAGGTAACCGTTTGGTTTGAGTAATTTGCAAAGTTCTGCGACGATGTTCTTGTAGTGCACCTCAGACGACACACATGACTCTAGGCACAAACTTGTGGACACAACATCAAATGGTTTGGCAACATCATCAGTATCAAGTTGGACTATTGGAGCTTTGTTCACATCACATGGGACAATAGATTTGATTTTTCGTTTCAGTTCATCAGCGCGATTTAGTACACAGTCGAGCTTCTCTTTGTCTGCGGAGGTTTCACTTCTCTCATCTACAATGCCACGTCCTTGTTCGAGTTCAAGAACAGCGATTTCAATTAAAGGCATCCAGTCGTAGGCCTCAGCGTCGCCAGCAATCCAAGACTTCACGGCTTCTCTATTCGCTTCTGCATACTCAGCAAAGACAATATGATCCACTTTTGGGCAAGCAAAAACAAGGTTGGCTATAGAAGGTCCACCACCAAACTCGAGATATCGAACGTCCGTCAGTTCCGTGTCTGTTGGCGCCTTAAAGCTCGACCAAAACTCGTGAAATACATTAATAAACGGCGACACAGATCGATCTTTATTTTCGTCTCCTTTGACGTTTTTATAAAAATATTCGAGGAAGGTTTTTGGGTCAAAACAGGTATGGTAATCTTCTGGGTTGCTTAAGTTGGCCATTTTCCCATGGACGATACAAAGAATGCATTGTTTTCACGGCATAGTACAAAACATGGACTGGACCCTTTGACTGGACCCAAAATTGGATCCAAAATTGGACTCAAAATTGGACCCAAAATTGGACTAAAAATTTTAGCCAAAATATGAATCAAAATTTTAGCAAAAATTTTGCCCAAAAATCCATTATTTTTTCGGACAGAAACAACCCTCAGAATATCGTATATATATATATTATATATACATACATATATATATATATATGTTAAATATTTTCGTTAATTCTTAGTTAATTATGTAACCATGACGACATTGATTAGAGATAGAGACATTATTTGCATGCCAGAGATATAATCCGTGATATATATATACCTAAATTGACAGATTTAGAGCGAGTGTGTGTGTGTGATGTGATGTGAGTGAGATAGTGAGGGATTGAGACTCGAGAGCCAAACTGGGCGTGTGATTGCGAATATACCTTTTTTTAATAAAACTACAAAAAGCTTGTGATTTGTGAATAGTGTTGCGACTACATACTTTATTTCCGACACTAAGTGGCACCTCCGACGGGATTACGTACGTTTTAAACATGACTGAAGGAAGCGAGGATGTGAAACTAGTGGCAGATCTTAATGCCAAATTAAAATTGCTTAAATTTACACGGGACAAAACTGGCTCAATTACGACTGGTTCCATTATTACTGCTATGGAACGTCACCATGGACTGCGAAGAAATGTTGAACAGTCCAAATTCGAAAAGGGCGAAGAACCGGAGGCGGTTGCAGAATGGGGCGCAGAATTGGACGGGGAGATTGGGAAAACAGACGAAGCCATAACTGCACTCAAGAATGCCATCACTGAGGTAAGATCCAACCAAATAGGTAGAGATAGAGAGAAAGAGCATGCGTTAAAAGAAAAGGAACGCGAAGAACAATTATTGTTTGAAAAGCGCAAGTTTGAACTCAAATTAGAATACGAACAAAAACTTGATGAAACGCGGAAATCTCAAGGACAAGGTCACGCTCATGAATCTAAACCGCTAAAAACTCGTGTTAATTCTAAACTTCCAGAGCTAAAAATCACGAAATTTAACGGGAATGCGAGTAACTGGCTCACATTTTGGAACAAGTTTGAAGCGGAGATTGATAAGTCCGACCTTGCGCCAACAACAAAATTTGCGTACTTGAAAGAAATGCTAGAACCGAGTATACGCGCCGAAGTAGATGGTTTGCCTTTCACAATCGAGGGATACGAACGCGCCAAAACAATTTTGAACAGCGAATACGGCAGACCAAGCGAGATAGTTAACGCGTATACCCAAAATATTATGAATTTGCCAGTAATTACTGGATCCCAGCCGTCTAAAGTGCACGAATTTTACAAAACGCTATTGCTCAATGTACAGTCATTAGAGACCTTGGGTAGACTTCAGGACGTCAAGGGCAATGTGCGATCTGTCATTGATAAACTTAAAGGGATTAAATCTGATCTGGTAAGGGGACAGAGTGGGTGGCGAGTTTGACTAATGGTCGCGGGTCGCGTGTCGCGGGTAAAAAGTCGCGTGTCGCGGGTAGAATGTCGCGGGTCGCGGGTAAAATGTCGCGGGTTGAATAAAGTGTGTAAAAATCACGTTATCATTTACTGAACAGCTATATAGGATTGCTTCAATACGAAATATTGCCTAAGAGCCTTTTGTCACGATTTAATGAGTTTGACTAATGGTCGCTGGTAAAAAGTCGTGTGTAGAATGTCGCGGGTAAAATGTCGCGGGTAAAAAGTCGCGGGTCGTAAAAAAGCTCCAAACCATGTATTTTAGAGTCTCGGGTTGAATAAAGTGTGTAAAATCACGTTTTCATTTAGTAAACAACCATATAGGATTGCTTCAATACGAAGCATTGCCCAAGAGCCTTTTCTCATGATTTAATGGTTCAATATAAACGTGCCAGAAGCCTAAAACTTGAAAGAATAATTTCAATATGTTAAACCAACAATTATACCATGACAAAAATCCTCTAATCAAAAAAATGTTCTGAAAGAAACAAACAAGACTTTGGTAGAAATAAATTCAGTTTACCACTACTATTACAATCAGTTTTATACCAATTTAAAAACAACCATATAGTATCACAAATAATAGATATATCCATGCTAGGACATTATAAAAGTACATTATGATTCACCAACAACCCGGATATTTAAGTCGGTTGTTCTCTAGCAGTTGTTTCTGGAAAGTACTGATCGATGCGCAGAGGCTTGACGACAACGCGCACTGAGCCACTGAATAGCGGATTTTTACGCCTGATATGGTAGAAATTGGATGCCTATGTATTACTAAAATCAGGACTATAAGCATAGGAATGTGTAACAGGATCCTTTTGCACAACCGGACCACCGTCTATCAACGTGCTTCAGTTACAATAATGTTATATGGTTCTTGTCTATATTTATCTAGAAACTCGCAATTGCAGCCATAACATCTTCGAACAACTATTGATAAAAACCATTAAATAACTAATAAATGATAACGTGATTTTTACACACTTTATTCAACCCGCGATTCAATAAAATACACGGTTTAGAGCTTTTTTACGACCCGCGACTTTTTACCCGCGACATTTTACCCGCGACACGCGACTTTTTACCCGCGACACGCGACCCGCGACATTAGTCAAACTCGTGGGTGGCAAGACTGGGATTTCCCTCAATTAGTTAAAGCACTCAAGATGTGGAAAGACATAAATCCAATTGAGTCGAGCGATGACAGCAAGAAAAAGCTCCCTGGGGCATATTCACGCCATTTTGCGACACGCAATTATCCAGCTCGACCCGGGGGGTGTGTATACTGCCAAAGAGAAACCCACAAATCGATTGCTTGTGACCAGCTAACAAAAGTTGATGATCGTAGAAAACACCTCGCTAAGAACGGTCTCTGTTTCAGTTGCACGCGAGGTCAACATCGTGCTGCAGGCTGTAAAAGTCGTTCTGCATGCCACAAATGCCAACGTAAGCACCACACGTCAATTTGTGATCAACGCGATAATCAACTTTTGGCAGCCTCTTGTAATGAGAACAGATCGGTATGCTACCCTGTTGTCGTTGTAGAGATAAATGGTATCAAATGCCGCGCGTTGTTAGACACTGGGGCGGGTAGTTCGTATGCGTCCAGTGCGTTAATTAACAGGTTAAACATTAAACCGGTGAAAGTGGAGAGACGCCATATCGAGATGATGATAGGTTCTGTCACCAAGAATATCGAACTATATCAGATACGCGTGAAAAGCCTCGAAAGTGATTTCTCTCTCGAAATGCAAGTCAGCAAAATCGATCGTGAGAAACTTTTAGTATTGGAGAACCCAAGATATGCTGAGATCATCGCCAAGTAGTTACACTTGCGAGCCGTGGAGATGACTGACAAAGACGACAAAGCAGAGTTGCCCGTGCATCTGGTGATTGGAGCAAATGAGTATACAAAGATTAAAACTGAGACCTCGCCAAAGATCGGCCGCCAAGGAGAACCAATTGCAGAGAAGACCAAGTTTGGCTGGACGATAATGTCACCTGGCAAGGAAGTGAACTTGAACGAGATGTTCATGGCCCAGACCTCCAGCGCAGACTACGAAAAGCTATGTCGTCTCGACGTTCTCGGTTTAGAAGACTCTCCAACTGGTGATCAAAACGAAGTTTACAAGGAGTTCCAAGAACAATTACAACGAAGTTCATAGAGATGGTACGAGACAACCTTACCATGGAAAGAAAATCACCCACCTCTTCCTAACAACAAATCGGGAAGTTTACGACGATTCAACAGCCTCGTAAGAGAGCTAGAAAGATCTGACCTTTTCGAGTGATACGACAAAGTGATTAAGACCAACTCAAACAAGGAATCGTTGAACGTGCGAGCGAAGTTCCTCAGGGACGGGAGTTCTACATTCCTCACAAACTGGTTGTGAAGGAATCTGCCGAAAGCACCAAGCTGAAGATTGTGTACGACGCGTCCTCTCGTGCCAGTGAGAATTCGCCATCTTTGAACGAGTGCCTCAACCCAGGACCACGCCTGCAAAACCAGCTGTGGAATGTATTGGTGAGAGCGCGATTTCACCCAGTTTTGATCACGGGAGACCTGAAACAAGCGTTCCTGCAAGTACGAATCCATGAGAAAGATCGTGACGCACTCAGGTTCCATTGGTTTAAAGATCTGCAGACAAGGACTATCGAAGTTCTTCGATTCACTCGTGCGTTATTCGGGTTAGCTCCTTCGCCTTTCTTGCTTGCGGGAGTTATCCAGCAGCATTTAGAGAACTTTCGAACAGTCCATCCAGAGATTGTTAGTGAAATAGAGAAAAGCCTTTATGTCGATGACGATTTAATCAGCGGCGGTGAGAACTAGATCAAGGCAGAGCAACTAAAGAGCAAAGCAATCGAGATTTTCTCAGATGCAATCTTCGACCTGCACAAGTGGCACTCTAATGTTCGAGATTTAGAGTCACCCATTAAAGTCGGGGCAGAAGAGACGGAGACGTTTGCGAATCAACAACTTGGCGTTCCAAACGGAGAACAAGCGAGTATTCTCGGTCTTTCGTGGAACAAAGAAGAGGATACTATTGGAATCAAGTTTCCATCGGGTGTAGCTGAGCCTACAAAGAGAGGGATTCTCGGAAAAGTCGCCAGAATCTACGATCCACTGGGACTAGTAGCTCCTATTACTCTTACCGGAAAGATGCTTTATCGTGAAGTGTGTAATGCCAAACTTGCATGGGACACCAGACTGCCGTACGAGCTGACGCGGAAAATAATGAAATGGGGAAGAAAGCTTGCCAACCAGTGCCATGACCAAGCGATATTTACCTTTGCTACGCGAGAACATTACAGACATTCATCTGCATTCATTTGGTGACGCAAGTGGGAAAGGGGTAGCTGCCGCAGTTTACGCTGTCGTTTTCCAGCCGTCAGCCGTGAATCAAGGTTTAGTTGCAGCCAAAGCAAGGTTAGCGAAACAAGGTTTAACTATTCCTAGGTTAGAGCTTGTTTCCGGTCTAATGGCAGTTAATCTTATCTCAAACGTGAATGCAGCGCTCGAAGGTTTCAACGTGAGTCAACAACATTGCTGGCTTGATAGCAGTGTCGCGCTTCACTGTATTGCTGGGAAGGTAACTACAAGCAGTTTGTGGCAAACCGAGTTGCGAAGATCAAACAACATGGCGATGTGAAGTGGCGCTATACCAGCACCGAAGAGAATCCTGCAGATCTCGACATTAGAGGAGGATCAGTTGACCGGAAAGATTTATGGTGGAAAGGACCAATTTGGTTGTCAGATAGTGCAAAGTGGCCACCAACATCACAACGAGCACTTCGCCAGAAAGTCAACCTGAAGAGAAGATCCTGAAAGAGTTACGAGACGTGATATTGGATGTAGAAGTGATTCTCAACAACCGTCCCCTTAGCTATGTCGAGGACGAAATACAGTTCCCCCTCCTAACCCCCAATTCCCTTTTATATGGACGTTCCAATGTCTTACCCGAGTTAGAACCTCATCGAGTGGTATCCAAAGACCTTCGCAAGCGAGCCAAACATCTACGACGCTGCAAGGAAGCCGTATGGCGTAGATGGGACAAAGAGTACCTGAGAGGGCTACGTGAACGTCACAACCAACAACATGGCAGCAAATCAAGTACAACGAAGGTCGGCGAAGTCGTGATTATCAAATCGGACGAGAGAAACCGTGGAAAGTGGAAGTTAGGAGTAGTCGAAACGGTGATAGTTGGGATCGATAATGTTGTACGAGGCGCGAAAGTACGAACAGGAAAGTCGGTAGTAGAAAGAGCGGTTTAACATCTTTTTCCGTTAGAATTGTCGTGTGACAAGACGGAAGTGACAGAACAAGCCACGCAAGCGAAGCCAAACGTGAAAGCACCTGAATTCCAACCAAGACCGAAGCGACAGGCTGCTGTTGAAGCCAAAGATCGGATCACTGCAGTTGGGATCGAAGAAGAAGAGGACTAACATTGACAGATAAGATACAATAACTTTTATACTATTCATATAAGACTGATTGTTTAGAAACATTTTAATCGCATAGTTCAGTTATCTAAAACATTGGTATTTTTTTCATATAGGTAATAGGGTATAATCGTGGACACGAAATATATTAGAATTTTAGAACATTTGTCTCATTAGAGACAAATGGGGGGGGAGTGTGTTAAATATTGTTGTTAATTCTTAGTTAATTATGTAACCATGACGACATTGATTAGAGATAGAGACATTATTTGCAAGCCAGAAATATAATCCGTGACATATATATACCTAAATTGACAGATTTAGAGTTAGTGTGTTTGATGTGAGTGTGAGACAGTGAGGGATTGAGACTCGAGAGCCAAACTGGGCGTGTGATTGTGAATATACTTTTTAATAAAACTACAAAAAGCTTGTGATTTGTGAATAGTGTTGCGACTACATACTTTATTCCCGACAATGTAAATGACAATGGATTGGTATATATATAGCTACAGTACGCTGGGACATGAAAGATGCAGATTAGTTTATTCATTTAGTAGAAAAGAGATAAGGGATTTCTTGAACAAGTAAAAACTACCGTTTATTGAATCTGGTAGTGAACTCCATATTTTTGGACCTTGATAAAGAATAGTAAATTGCTTTATATTTGTACGACACACATGAGGTCGATAAAAGTTAGCATTTCTGGTTTCATATATCTATGAACTTGATTATTTGTTAGGAATAGGTTTGATAGTGAGACTGGTAATAATCGATGATGATAAAGAAACATGAATTTAGCAATCTGAAAAGTGTTCACCTTGAAAATATCTAATAATTTTAATTGCGCGAATAGAGGAGCAGAATGAGCACAGTAATCTGAATTTGTCATGATTCGCACTACTCTTTTTTGAGGTAGCCAGATCTGGTTTAAACTAGTTACATATGTCGAAGACCCAATTACGTTACAATAATTAATATAAGGATAAATTAAAGAATAATATAATGAAAGTTTAGTCTTAGTAGATAAAACACAACGCGATCTGGCAATTACTCCAATCGATTTAGAAATTTTATTACATACATGGTCAATATGATATTTTCAAGCTAGATTCTCATCGATATATATATGCCTAAAAATTTAACCACATTCACTCTCTTGAGAGGTTTATCGGCAAGCAAAACTGGCAGGTTAATCTTAGTTGTCTTTTGTTTCGAACTGAAAATAACATAATTTGTTTTATTGATATTAACCAAAAGTTTATTCGTTTGCATCCAGATATTTAGTTTCTTAATTCTTCATTCAATGAAGTTGTCAAATATTCTTGGTCAGTGTGAGACAGAAAAATGCTGGTATCGTCTGCAAAAAGCAAGCACTCGGCCAGTCCTGTAGCATTAGGGAGATCATTTATATATAAAAGAAAAAATAATGGGCCTAATATTGAACCCTGGGGTACCCCACAAATAATATTATTTTCTGTTCAAGAAGTCTCATTAAATTGAACACACTGACGGCGATCATAAAAATAGCTTTTCATCCATTGTAGTGCCATCCCACGTATGCCACAATGTTCTAATATCGTGAATAAAGTTTGGTGATCAAGAGTGTCAAATGTTTTAGACAGATCCAAGAACACCTCCACAGTAATTTTTTTTTTCGTCAATAGATGTTGCAATTTTATTTATAACGTAAATAAGTGAAAGCACAGTTGAACGATTCTTACGAAATCCAAATTGTAAGTGGTATAAAATTTCGAATCGACTGACGAAATTGGTGATACGATTATGCATAACTTTTTCATAAAATTTTGAAAAATTTGTAAGGAGAGATATGGGTCTATAATTTATAAAATATTTAGGATTGTCAGTTTTGAAAACTGGGATTACCTTAGCTATCTTCCAGTTATCGGGAAACACTCCATTTGAAATTGATCGATTGATAATTTGGACAAGTGGGTGAACTATAAATTCAAAGGATAGTTTTATTGCATTCATGGCTATATTGTCAAATCCGGCAGTCTTTCCTGACTTAAGCGAGTGAAAGAAACCGCTTTTTAACAATTTTTAGAGTATTTGCAGTATGGTATGTCTTATGTATGACTGTTGACTTTTAATAAAATACAAAAAATAGTTTATAAATCTATAACACAGGGACTTAAAATCGAAAATAAAATAGTGAGACTATCTCTCGTCTCGTATCCGTAGCCATTACTGCTTTGATTTTCAATCACTTTGACAACGTTTAAGAAGGAGATACTATACTAAATTTCATCAACATGTATTGAGAACATCACGTGTTACCTACTAAATGATCTAAATAAATAAAATTAGCGAAATCTACCGCTTTTGTGGGGTTTTCCTGGAGAAAAACATTCGTAACAAAACAAACAAGAAAATCGAAGCCTAAGTGTTTATCCACGTTTGACGTCACATCAGAATTAAGAAAGTATATTGAGCATGCGCAGTGTTTAACTGGATACCATGTTTTTATGATATCCGGTATGGATTTGGCCAGAGTCCCTCGTCGCGCTTAGTTGACCGCGCGTAAGAAGGGCTCTGGGTACGAGAATGGGATTAGATTTGAAGTCCTCGCATTTTGATCCATTCCTCGGCTTCGCCTTGGACGTGATCAGATTGTGCGAACTTCAAAATTAGTCCAGTCCTCACAGTCGGATTTGAAATATTACATCAAAACGAAATCTGTACCAGGTTTCCCATCAGATATTGACAAATGAAATACTCAGTTTTTAAATTACTTAATGAATTAATTATTATTTAAGATAACTTTCATTGGTAGCAGGTGAAGTGGACAAGGAATTTTCTAACGTAGTCGACGGAAATATTTTTGAAATAATTTTATTATTAAGTAATAACATATCATAATTTACGTCGACAACACATTATAAAGATATTCCTTAAATCAATAACACTTACCCTACTGTCGGATCCACTGCTATATCGAACTTCCATGCACCTGTTTTTATCAGCGTTCTTCTCAATTTACCATTTAAATAAATCACGAAAATCCGATTTCGTGGCGAACTAGTTGTAGTCGAAAATAGCCGGTCTCCTAGCCAGTCAACTGCAATTTTGAAAGCGTCATCACCAGTTTGTAAAAAAGCTTCAACACCCGTGCCATCAAAGTTTGCCCTGGATATACTGCTGCCGTTTCCGAAGTATATTTTCATTTCCACTGTGTTAATTGCCATCCCGCGATTCTTTTTAAGTCCACGGATAACGCCAGTTTTAGCATGAGTTAGCAAATCAATCGCGTGGATTCCAGAGTCCCTTTCATTGATAAACAAATAAGGTTTCGGATACGGACCTGAAGAATATACAATACAATACAATACGATACGATACGATACGATACGATACGATACGATACGATACAATACAATTTTATTTAGCCGCGGTAAAACCTGCAGTAACACTATTTTACAAACAAGCATAATCTGGTTTACAAAATTGTCGTGTGGGAGTCTGCGTTACTATATATACAGTGGCGCCGTGTCTGGGGAGGGCAGGGGGGGGGGTGCAGGCCCCTCTTATTGTTGAGACCCATCAAAAAATAGTCAACGTTGTCGACGGGTGAGGGGCAGATTTAAATTTTTTGCTTTGTCGGAAACATTTTTCGGTTTGTCGGAAAAGTACTGCCCTTGCCCCCCCCCCAAAAAAAAAACATGGGTCCCACGGCGCCACTG